TGCTTAAACTCAAACTAGATCCGGTTGGATTAGTTTCAGTTCATACTCGAAACTAACGATTCTAAACAAAACAACAACAAAATAGAGAGAAAAATGTAGAGAAAGAAGAAAGAAAGAGCAACAAACAAGGCGAAAGAAATCTAAACAGCTTGGGAATTCCCATAACACAAAACCATATTATTAATAACAAACAAAAAAGTAAAATACTGGGCCAATAGCCAATAAGAAACTCCCATGACGATCCGCTTTACAAACAGATTATTGACTTTATCATTAGTCAAAGCTGATCGGGCCTCAAGGCAAAGAAATTGATTGGCGCCAGACAGCTGCATTTTTTTTTTTTTTTTTGCTTCGCTCTTTTTTGTTTAGCGTCTGGTATTTCCCAAGACGTGCGAATTCGCTTCTCTTTTTTTTTTTAAAGAAAGTCGTTAAAAAAATAATTTTAATTAATTTGCTAGACGATTTCAATTTTGATTTAAGTTCTCGAGTAAATTTGATTTAAATGCGTAAAAACTTGTTTATTATTATTATTATTTTTTTTTTTTAATTCTAGAAAACCGCATTTACGCTTGAATAACGCACAAATTTTAATAGTTTATTTACGCCTTTTGTGGAATGTTTTGTGTAATCTTTTTGTTCTTGTTTATTTGATTTTTGTGACGACGTCGGCAATTTGGCGCCACTTAAATTGACATCGATAATTAATTATTGAGCGCAATGAATATGTAAATTCAAATTTGCATTTAAATTAGAGCTGTCAAAATACTAGAGTCGTCAGCCGACTTTGGATGAAAACAACAGCACAATTAGTGGGCTCTAAAACCAAAAATTAGGCGATTAAATTATTCAGTTTGTAAACAAAACCAGATGAGGAAAATTCTGAACAATCAAATTAAAATAAAAGACATGAGCGTTCATTAAATCATTAGCAAAAACGTCTTGCCCATGTCTTGTTTACAAATCAATACTTATAATGTAAAATAAAGAAACTTCCTCCAGCAGTGGCTACAACGTCATCAGCAGCAGCTCACCTTTGCTCAGGTTTCGAATGTCACTGAACTTCGCTTAAAACAAAAACGCATTTTTTCGGAAACTGGATTTTGAAATTTATGGTAAAAAAAGAAAAACAAAAATCATACTGTAAATGCAAAAATTGTGAACATATCCTGTAGATTTAATATTTATTGGTTGTCAAGTGCAATGACATGCAAGAAGCACTTATTGTTATTAAACTTAAAATATTCATTTAAATTGACTACCAAAAATTATCCAAGGCTGCCACCTTGTTGATATTATCAATATATCGATTGGCAAAACCATGCTAGCTATCGATACGGGTGTATTCGATTATAAGGAACAGCCGGCGTAAACAACGCGTCTTGGATTGTATTGTTAGGAATATATCAACAAAAATGAAGGAAACAGATTTAAAACGTGCATATAATAATGTTTTGGCTCAAGCTATATCGACGTCACAGAAGTTCCTGTTTGCTGGCAACCTGTTTGGCGACATTTTTGTTCTAAGGTAAATTGTTTGAGATTAAATCATTTTTCTGGGACTAAAGTAATTTGTTTGCAGTTTAAATGAATTGAATAAAACAAATGAAGAGCCGCCGAAAAAGCTGAAGGTATTTCCGCAGGGCTGCGATGTGGACATCAACTGTCTTGCCTTTCATCGCGATTTTCTAATCGTTGGCGCCATTGGACTCATTTATGGAATCCAGTGGAATGAGGAAGAGGAAACATTGAGCACTAAACGTGCCTGGGAGATCAAAATACCCATGCAAGTGGATGCTGTAGAGGTGCCAGATGTCAACTCTTTTTGGCTATGCACTGAAACGGATTCATTGTATGCTGGCTGCGGTGACGGCGTCGTCTATAAAATCGATCTGGAAGACGGACGCATTCAGCGCGAATATCGCGGACACACGGACTATGTGCACTGCGTTGTCGGCCACCCTGATGGGCGGATCTACTCGAGTGGCGAGGACGGCACTGTGCATTTCTGGTCGGATAAGCAAAAGGAGCCAACCGCAATTTTAGAGCCGCACAAGAATGCGCAACTACTCCGTCCAGATTGGGGCAAATGGATTGGCGCTGTGTCCGTCAATAATGACTGGCTGGTCTGTGGTGGTGGTCCACGTCCAGCCATCTGGCATTTGCGTTCAATGGAATGCACACGCACATTTGATTACCCTGGTCGCGTCCATGTCTGTGAGTTTGTAGATGACTCGGTGCTCATCGGTGGAGAGCACAATCACGTGCAGTTTTATACGCTCAATGGAGCGTTGCAGGCCAACATTCCTGTGGAGCACACAGCCAGTTATTCGGCCGTGTGGCAAACGAGTCCCTTCAACTTCATGTCCATTGCTGGGTTCAGCAACAAGTTGCACATACTGAAGGACTTTCGCTTTCTGGACAGTAAAATTGAAATGTACGGCAATGTGCAGGGCGACGAGGTGGAGAACGAAGAGCAAGATGATAATGATGACGACGATGATGGCGAGGATGATTCGTTTTAGCTAAATACCTTGAACATCGCTCTAAGTGTATAAAATATATTTAAAATAGACACATTTTCTGTTTTGTGACTGATAAATGCCACATTCAGATTTTTTCTTTTGAATATAGCGTGAACTTTATTGGATTTGTTTTTGAACCTATGAACTAAGGAAATTAAAACTTATGCCAACTACTTAATTATATACTTAAAAGAATTAATTTGTACCTGAAACAGTTGTCCAAGGCAGTCATCTGGTTCACTGCTCGCTGCCACCCAAGGGTATAAATGCGGGCAGTTGGCCCAGTTTCGGCCTTTGACGCAATCCACTGCTGCTGGGCGAGGCCTCTTCATCTAATTCAGCCTCATCTTCCTGCTCGTCATCCTTCTTCTGACTGTCTGCCTCTACCTGAAACTTATCATTTTCGCACACAAAATAGCGAGAGCTACCGGGCAATTCCTCTACGGCAGCCTCAGCAATAGCTGGAACGGATTGTACTTTAGATTTGGGTTTAGGTTTAGTTTTGGATTTAGGTGTAGATCGCACTGCAGATAATCTTGTTTGCTGTTTCATTTGCTTGCAGTAGATGCAGTTGGTCAGTTCGCACTTGCCGCGGCGGGCATATTCCGGACAGACAAATTCATGTCGCATATTGCACTTGAAAATTGAGAGGAGTTAATAAGAATCGATTGGAAAATGGAGCAAAACTTACATCAGCGGCACGCGCGCAATAGCCACGCAGAAAGTCAATGCATATCTCGGCCTTACGGCTCAGTTTCTTATGCAGATATGGACAATCCTCACGCACACAGACGCCTCGTAAGAAGTAACGACACACAGGCATCTTCTCCAGCGTCACGTTATGTGAGAGCAGGCAATCCTTCTTGGTGCACTCACCTCGCAGAAAGCTGCAAGAAAACCATGAGCAGGAGTTCAAGTCCACGTCTAGAGAGCTAATTGTACTTACCTTGGACAGATGGCAACCTGTCGCTTGTCGTGCAGTCGTCGACACTTGCCTCGACTGTGAGCCGCACACTTGCCCAGTCTTTGATAGATAGCACATGGTACATTTGTCTTCACAAGCGAGCGATTCAGCACCTGAAGACTACGCTGCTTGGCTGTCATCAAATGGGCACGGGACACATGATTTGTGGTGCGTATGAAAACATTTTGTGCCTTCGGCGAGGAGACATAAGTCAAGCCCCCAATGTCGATGCGCCGACGCAAGCTCTTATTAACGATCAATGGCGAGCTGTGAGCAGGCACGCGGGTCAATCGGCAGCCAGAGGGATCCAGGACGAATTTGGTGCCACGCACAAATAACGTGCGACCAATCGAGCCATTTGCCTTCCGCTGCTGAGCTGGCGCAGACTTTTTCGCTGAGACATTGGGATCCAGTTTGGTCAGCTTATTCTTGGCTGTCTTCTTGTACATGACGCCATGTATGCTCACCATGCTTAGCGATTTGTTTACGCTGGGTTTGAGAATGTTTGATTTCTTTAAGCTGCAATAGAGTTGGTTAGCAGAACTATTTCAGGAGACTGATGAAGCTATGTTAGAGACTTACCTCAATTTTTTGCCAGCGATTGCATCATTTGTGCGTCTCAGTGCGTAGCGAGCCACAAATTCTTTAGTTCTACGTTTCTTCACCAAGGGCGTGCTGCTGTGTGCGGTTAGGGATATGGCGCGCACTAGCTTGTATTTGGTTCGCTTGGCGGTAGTTACAGCTGTAGTTGTGGGCTTGGCAGTTGTAGCCACAGCTGGTTTTACTATGAGTGCACTTTGTCTGACGAGTTTTCGCTTGGTTATGCTAACTAGAGGAGGTTGTACACATCGCTGAATGGGTGGGGCTGCTTGCTGCTTGCGTACCAAGCAAGTGCTTGCTTTGCTTATGATTTTCGCGGGAGGAGGCGGCGTCAATGCAGCAGCAACAGTTTGCTGCTGATAATACGTAACATGCTGTTGTTGTTGTTGTAGCATCTGTTGCTGTTGCTGCTGTTGTTGTTGTTGTAGCATCTGTTGCTGCTGCTGCTGTTGTGGTATTTGTTGCTGATGCAGTTGTTCTTGTTGAAGCTGTTGCATTTGCTGTAACTGATATTCACGCTGCCGCTGCAGAAAATACGGATTTATATGTATGGCTGGTCGTTCCCATGCTTCAAGCGCATGACTCTGTCGGCCTTGAGGCTGCAGCGCACTCGTCACTTGACTATGAAAATTCGGATTTATATACACTCTTCGTCCCACGGGTGGAATGTTCTCTTCGGCACTTATGTGTGGCAGCATATTAGGGTGTTTTTGTTATCACAATTTGTTAGCAAGTTCTATTTTTGTTTTTAAGATGACTTTAATTGCGTGGCTGAGTGTAAATATGTTTTTGTATTATCTTTTCATCAACTTTTGTTACACAGACATTGTAATCGCAGCTACGTAACTATCGCTACGCCTCGATTACAGCTACGTACTTATGTGAATGGCTAAAATCATCGAAACGCGGGTATGAGCATTTATCGATATTGTCAAAGAATAAGAGCACCAAGAAACGTTTGTACAAATTAAAAATGGGTAAAGAACGTGGACGAGGACGAGGACGAGGACGTCGGAATTTCCAATCCAAACCGTATAACAAGCAAAATTGGCGTGGACAAAAGAAAGAGCACTCAAAACATAACAATGACCAATCACAATCAGTCAACAGGTGAAGTTTTATATTTCTAAGATTTCAAAGAACTCACCGGCTTTCCTTGCAGAGTACCACAGCAGAAGTGCACACTGCTTGAGACTCAGGTGGGCATTACGGAATTCACAAATGCAGATATTGCAGGCTTTACGGGCATTCTAAAATCTCGTTTCTCCGATTTCCATGTGAACGAAATCGACACTGACGGACACGTGCTACAGCTGAATGATTTAAACGTGCCAAAAGCGGAAATTGAAGGTTTGTAGCTGCGGTTAAGGAAAATTGGTTTGAAATTTTAACTGTTTATTATTTGCAGCCGTGGATCCCACTGTATTGGACGAATGGCGCGATAAGCTGGCCCCAATCATTGACAAAGAAGTGTGGCAGCAAATAGCCGACTTGTCCGCACTCAAATATGATAATAAGAGTGAACAGAAAGTGGATATAAACGTTAGCAGCCTCACTAAGGAGGAACGTACTCTAATCCATCATCTTGTGAAACAGCTCTACAGGAACAAATTGGTATCCAAAACAATTGACCAGCCGGCAGATCAACAGGTGGAAGAGCAGAAAATAATACGCATAGCAAAGCCCAAGCCAGGCCGCTGTAAGTTATTTCTCCAAGGCATTAATCAAATCTTAACTTTTTCGTATTTTACCTGTAGCTGATAGCCGCTGGAATTTTCCACATGACTTTGTTAGCTTTCTGGTGCACAAAGTCAATATGGATACGAGTGAGGTGGCTTCAACAATAGCAAATCGCTTGAAGTGAGTTCCGACATATTATTCTAAGTGCGTTTCAGATCAATATCAGATAATTTCCACATATTTATCAACAGTCTGCATCCATCGCAGGTGAACTATTGTGGAACCAAAGATAAACGCGCAAAAACCACGCAACGCTTTTGCATTAAACGCCGTACTCCCGAGGCCATCGCAAATGCTGCGCGAGGCATAGGCAATGTTCACATTGGTAACTTTTCCTTCCGGCCTGAAACGTTGAAGTTGGGCGATCTTAAAGGCAATCGCTTCCGTATTGCACTACGCCACATTACACATCCTCGAGAGCACATCGAGCAGGCATTGGAGTCACTAAAAGAGCGCGGATTTATCAACTATTATGGCCTGCAGCGGTTTGGCAATAGCGCCAGTGTACCCACTCATGAGGTAGGCGTGGCGTTGCTCAAACGCGACTACAAACTGGCCTGTGAGTTGATATTAAAGCCACGCGACAATGATGTGGAGTTTATGCGCGCTATACGTGAAGCTTGGTGGGAGAATCGGGATTCAGCTGCGGCTGCAGCCAAGTTCCATGGAAATAAGTTTATTGAAAAGAAACTCTTGGACGGCTTGGCCACATATGGCGAGAATGATTACGCTGCAGCTCTGCGTCGCATTCCACGTAATATGCTACTCCTATACCCTCATGCTTATCAGAGTCTGATCTTCAATCGCATCGCTTCGCGACGTATAAAAGAGTTTGGCTTAAAGCTGATTCCTGGAGACTTAGTTTACGTCGAGGAAGAGAATGATCAGCAGGTTAAAGCTCCAGAGGAGTCTGTGCCTCCAGCTGAAACCGACGAAATCATGGAGGATGTGTTGGAAGGTGAAGGTGACAATCCGCTGGAAGAGGAGTCGATCTTCAAACGTAAAGTTCGGCCACTTACAGATGAGGACATAGCCGGAGGCAAATATAAATTATCAGATGTTGTACTCCCACTGCCTGGTTACGATATAACATATCCGAGCAATGAGTGTGGCGCTTGGTATGACGAGATGCTCGCGGAGGTAGGGTTAACGTCAGAGCAATTACGACACAAGGAGAAAACCTATGCGCTTGGTGGTGCCTATCGTAAACTGCTTATAAAAACGGACGACTTGAAATGGAGTTTTCGTCGGTACAGCACATACGAGGACACACTGATAGCCTCTGACTGGGAGCAGTTGAAAAACATTGAGATTACACCTGAGCCCCCTGAGTCTGATAACTGCTATACGGCTCTACTGTTGGAGTTTACTTTGCCAACAGCTGTTTATGCGACTATGCTTCTGCGCGAGCTATTTAAACAGGATACCTCAACGGCCACACAAATGCAGCTGGAAAAAGAGGAGATCATTAAGAAGCTCGCACAAGAAGTTCCCATAATTGAAGCCGAAGCGCAGCCGCAGCCAATTTGAAAAAAAAGCAGCTACTAAAACAACAAATCGATAAGAAAAATCAATTTACGCGCCTTCTATATTAGTGTTTGTGTGTGTGAGTGTGTGTGTGTTACTTCAAACCAACCACAACAATAACAATGCGCACGTGAGTGCACGGTACGCTCTCTTATGCTCACGTTCTCTCGCTGTTGCTCTCTTCGGTCTTTTGTCTGACGCTTTGAGTGAGTGTGTGTGCGTCCGGCCAGGACTAAACTTAAAGTCCTATTCTCTGGCCATTAGTACGCTGACAAGCGAGAGCTTTGGACGCGCTGCGCAACATATAACGTCGCCGTGTTTGTGCGTGTGCCTACCATTAATGTTGTAAAAGAAGAGTAACAATAACAAATAAGATACGAAGCTAATCAGAAAGTAACTGTAAATTTGTTTTGACCGTTACAAGTAATCGGAACAAAAGGAAAGAATAAGGTGAATCATACATGAATCATATACACATATTAAATATACTCACCCGAACGCACACATACACATTGAAATTTAGGCGCGTATTTTTAAACAGAAGTCCTTTATTAACAATGAATAAAAGAGTCTATAATTTTGCAGTAATTAACAGTATTGAAAAGTATTTAAATAATTGAACTATATTTATATATATATACATTACTTTGCATTGGCTTTGCATGCTTATCGATTTTTGTGCGTGCCTTTGCCCAAATCAATCGATAATGTGGTGTTAATGCGCTACAGCTACTACACACACATCAACTTTAGAAAGGTGGGCGACGACGGGCATGATGCATGAAGTATTAGTGGTTCATATTAGCTGATAGAGCGGCAGTTAGTGGGGTGTTGTGAGGGATTGGGGTGGGCCTGGTGCACTGCGTTGCCCTTAAGTGTAACCATGCAGGACAGTGTCATCGAAATTAATAAACTAAATGCTTGTTTGGCGTCGTCTATTCACACACCCAAACACCAACCCACCCACCCAAACCAGCCAGACATGGTTATTGGACATGTTATTGCTTGCGCGCGCACTCTTTGACCAGCAGTGAGACGAAACGTTTCAACCAACTGCGTCATAGTTGGAGTTGCTTTGCGACTTCGATTTTTGCGCCCAACACCTAAGTGAAATAAAATACTTACAATTTGACTTATATACTCAAGACTTATTTAAATAAATATATCATCGATTTGCTCGTCGTTGAGAGCACGGAGATTGCATTTGCACAAATAGGCCAAAATCTTTTTCTCAGCCTTACTACGATTGGCGCCCAAGCCCTGCAGCAGAGCCTCAATGCGTTTCATGGCGCCGTCACTGAACGATGTGTCCGGCGGTGGTGGTGCTGGTGTTGCTAGCGGTGGTTGCACATTAACTGTGGATGCATGCTGTTCGTCCATTGCCTCCTGCAGCGCATCTTCCTCATCGTTTTCGATGAGCTCCTCGGTGCCTTGCGAATGCCAATTAGCAGTTAGAGGTGCCGTTATATTAACAACTTGTCGTTCACCACTGTGATGGCCGTTGTTGCTGCTGCTGTGGTGTTTGTGTTGTGCAATGAACTGTAGCTTTGGCAAAAAGTCCCAATCGGAGTGATCCTTCAGCAGTTCTCTGCGGAACTTTTCGCGAATGAAATTCCATCGTCCTATGCAGGTGTTAACTAACAATTTGAAAATGTTTTAATATATAATCTCATAAAAATTACATAGAACATCACTAACCATCAGTTTTTAAGGATGTTGCTATGCTGCACCACAATTCAGTTTTCTTTTTCTTACTGGAATCATATGGTGATTTACGAACTTCGCGTTCATATAAACTGGGATTGGAACGCACCAGTTCTATAAGACGATTGTCAAATTCAGAACACGTGGACATTGTAAACAAAAAATATAAACAAAATTTTCCCAACTACTCGCACAGAGTGCATCAAAACAAATACAATTTGATAGCTCGATAGGCGTTTCGATAGCAACGCATTTGCAGTGTTGCGCAACGTTCACTAGTTATTTCATTTTTGCGCGCCACTTATCGATTTTATTATTGATTTTGTATTTCTATTTTTTTTTTATTGTACTCGACAAATAGTAGACAACAGTTGCGTTCAACTAACGCTTAACGGCCGCGAAAATGGCCGCCGAGAATTATCATCTGAAATGGGACTCGCATTTGTCCTATTTGAACACTTCCATAGCGACGCTCTACAAGTAAGTACACATTAATTGAGAGAAAGTAGTTGAGCTAATCAAGTTCCTTTATCAACTCGCAGAAATGAGAAGTTTGCCGACGTTATGCTATACAGTTCGTATAGCAACAGTGGCATCAATTCAGATATACCCACAGTGGGCATATCAGCGCACAAATTTATTTTGAGCTCCTGCAGCCAGTTCTTTGCCACCATGTTTGAGACGGCGCCAATTACAGCGCCCAATGGCGTTCTCTATATAGTGCTTCCGCCTGATCTGAGTCATCGTGCCATACAAATCCTTGTGCAGTATATGTACAGTGGCGAAGCAACGGTCTCCAATGATATATTAAATGAAGTGCTGCGCGGGGGAGAAATCCTGAAGATACGTGGCCTTTGCCGGACGAGCACCTCAAGCGGTGCTAGCGGCACTGGACACCACCTGCATCATCAGCGTGAGCCCAGTGCTTTGTATGTTTCAAATGGCACACGTTCTTCACTGGCGCCGCCTCCGCCACCACCGCCCATGTCGTCCGCACAGCTTCCCGGTGATATGTACAGCAACAAGCCCAGCAGCAGTAGCAGCAGCAGCAGCTCTGCTCGTTACTCTCTGGATCATCTGCATACGCATCCACATTCACATACGCATCCGCATCAGCATCATCATCATCAACAGCAGCATCAACAATTTCGCGGCTTGGGTGCTTCCGTAATGCCAAAGGACAGTCCGGTGATTGTGAAGTCACCCAAAATGGCCAGCCACACGGGTTTGCTCAGCGTGGCGAGCAGCAGCAAGCTGATTGCCGGCGGCATCTCTGTCAACAAGGAAGTGGCCATTGACCCGGAGGACAAGTGCTGCTATGCAGCAGCGAGCCAAGTCGAAAGTCTACCACAGTCAGCGACAGCAGTTACAACCACAGTGGCTGCACCACCACCACCACAAATGTCCATTTGCACAGAAGTCGGCTGCAACAGCTGTCCACTGGCTGCGCCGGCCACCGAACCAGCGGACTCCACATTACGCCGTTCGGACTATGCAGAACGGGAACGTCTGGTGGAGGAGCCACTGTGCGAGCGAGAAAGAGACGATGTGGGCATGGTCTACGAGAGACGTCTGCGCCGCGAGCGATCCTGTGAGCGAGGTAAAACTTTGGTTCTTTGAAAGAAAAATACTTGTATAATCAGATTTTTATCGATTTGTAGCCCCACCCCACGAATACTTTGGCCACGATGCCCCGCACTATGAGCATGTGGTCAAGTCTTATGAAGTAACGACTGCACCACGCCTGGCCACGCCCCCACATCCACATAGTTTTCTGACCATTAAGCAGGAACCAACCGATTGGTCAACGGGCAATCAATCAGGAGCGCTGCCAAACGACAACCACGAGCTGAGCCAGGAGGCGCAGCTGTCGCCCAAGCAGCCGCTGGACTTTAAGATGAATGCTGTCAAGCTGGAAGCGAATTCGGCGCCACAGGACGATTCCGAGGAGCATACGTTGCGTGATTACAACAATTTCAAGCTGCTCGTTTGTGAGATCTGCCAGAAGTCGTTTGAAGATACCAAAATGCTTGTGCGTCACCTGGGCACCCATGCCGCCGAGCCAACGGGCAATGTGATGGGCAGCAGTGTGAGCGGCACGGGCAGCAGCAGCAGCTCCACAGCCAATAGCAATCTGGCGCTGAGAGCATTGAAGACCTATGTGCCAAAGAAGCGACGCAGAGTGTCGGTGAGTGCCGTTGGATCCATTGGTGTATTGGACAAGCCCTTAACTCTTCCCATCCCTCATTCGCATGTACAACAGCAACAGGAGAACAACATGGATCATGTGACACTGCTCTGCGATCTCTGCTCCACGTAAGATCGAATGGCAATCCAAACTAAATGTCAATATATATAGTTTCGTTTCATTGCAGTTCCTTTGAAACGCCCGCGGAGTGGGTGCGTCATATGAATAGCCAACACACGGAAATCGAGCTGGCCATGTTCAATAGCAAAAAGGATGGCGAACAGAAGGGGTGTGTGTGATAAAGCCCTGCTTAATCGAGCATTTGTTGAACTCTCTGTTCACTCTGTTCACAGCAGCAGCAGCAACAACAACAACAACAACAACAATTCTTCTTCTGCCTCCGTTAGCCAAATGCAGCACACAGTCGTCAGCTCGGCAGTCGCCAACTCTCCAGGAGCGGCAGCAGCAGCAGCAGCTGTGGTGCATAAAAAGTACTTGACTGCCAGCCGGCTGGGTGGTGGACAAGGACAAGGCCTTAGCAACAGGGGAAATGGCGCTACGACCGCATCACCGGGGCTGGCCAACAGCTCAACCGCATGAGCCCAGGCAGAAGCACAACTCCAAAGACAAAAACAACAACAACAACTAGAGCAACAAAAAGACCACCAGCAGTCAGGCCACGAGTGAGAGAAGCAATAAGATGAACATTTTTTGAACAAAATCAAGTCGTTCCAGAAATCAAAAACAAAAAACAAATTATAAAGAAAAATTATTTATACGAAACAGCAAGAACCGTGATCAAAATGCAGCAAACACAGCATATTTTATAGAGCAAAAAAAAAAAAAAAAAGAGTTGAAATTAACTAAAACAAAAAACTATAACTTAAAACGAAACTGTAAACGAAACTTAGGATCGGAATCGTCAGGCAACGATGCAAAACAAAAACAACCAAAAAACATACGATTAATACTTTAACTCTGTAGTATTTTAAAATCTATTGTAGTTTTAAACTTTATTCCCCACTCGCGAACCGCAAAAGGCGCAAATATAACGAATCCCAAATATTTGAAACAATTTACAAAAAAAAAAAAAAAAAAGGCGTTTATATCAAATGTAATATTCGAGGCAAACATTTTCATTTAGTGATAGAACTAAAAACTTTAACAATTATCTGACTAATTTTGATGGAATTATTATTAGAGATCTTTTGAGTCCAATGAATGTTTTTTCAATTTTAAACTGAAAAGCAGCTTTCAATTATTTTTGAATTAAAATAATAATAGCTTAAAGTCATTTGAATATTGTATTTTATAGGTATCACATACTTTGTGTTTTTTGCTGCATATATATTTTTCTATTTTTATAAACACTTCTTTGGGTAGAGTTTTTAAACATTTTGTAAATAGGATAAGTTAATTTTTTTGAAGCCGCCGAAGCGAACATTTTTGAAAAATTACAACAAAAAAAAAAAAAAAAACTACTTATGTATCTAAATGTGTGTACTTAGTAGTTGACAATTCAATTAAAATCTAAAAGTTGTAAAGCGGAATTTTCCCTAATATACAAACATTAATATATATACATATATACAAAGCAACATACATAAATATGTATTTGCAAATCATCGTGATTCTTAACTAAGTGAATGGATGCGCGTATGTGTATGCGAAAACAAACACAAACACAAACACAAATACAAATACACCTACATACTTAAATACGAAAATGGTGTACAACTAAAATCGAATATGTAGCAAACGCGTTTTATTCGCATAATAAACAACAAGAAATCGTTTTTAAATAAGCACAAAGCAGCGTAACAATTTAAGAGAGACTGAGTGAGGGAGAGAGAGAGAGTTCGCAAATATGGAATGTGAAGAACGTAACAGTTGGAGCGCGCCATGTTTGATATTAAGCGCAAAGAGCAGCCGCTACGCTCACGAGTTTCATAACGAACGGTTGTTTGCCGCTCACTATCGCTTACTTTTCGCATTTGCCTGAACGGCCTTAACTAAAAGGAATATGACATATGCCAGCTATGGCAACTGAGAGCAAAAGTTCGACTCTTAACATTTTTACAATCAATGTCATTTAAGTAAGAGCAACAGACGCTTTCTTATTTAGTTGCCTTTAACATTCGGAAGCAAACGAATCAATTGCTGGACAAGGAATTAATTAATTTTTTTTTGCAAAACGTCTTTCTTTGGCCGCATCAAACTTCAAGCATTAATTATGAGTGCTGGCAAGCATTTGACGAAAGGTACGTCACTTATTAGATGGAATTATCACTCATTGTCTGCGTGTTTTGTGGAGAGAAACAAGTTTGAAGTATCCAGAAATATTGCGAGACATTCTTATCGGTATTTTATTTTTATATTTATAGAATGACTAATCACAATTGAAATGCTAATGTTGTAGGTTCTCCACGGCCGGCGTTGCCTGATGATGGTGTGCCACGGCTATATTCAATGCGCTTTTGCCCATATGCCCAGCGGGCTCATTTGGCACTGAATGCCAAAAAGGTGCCTCACCACATCATTTACATTAATCTAACCGAGAAGCCCGAGTGGCTGGTTGACTACAGTCCTCTGCTGAAGGTGCCGGCACTGCATTTGGTTGGCGAACGCAATCAGCCATCTCTGATTGAGTCGCTCATCATTGTGGAATATCTGGATGAGAAGTATCCGGAGAATCCATTGCTCCCCAAGGATCCACTGCAGCGTGCCCAGGACAAGATCTTGGTTGAGCGCTTTGGCGCAGTGACCAGCAACTTTATGAAGATTATTGTGCATAATGCAGAGCCTGATGAGCTCTGGACTGCTTTCGATGTATTTGATGAGGAGCTGGGCAAGCGTGGCTCGGCCTATTTCTCTGGCAGCAAGCCAGGCTTCGTGGACTACATGATCTGGCCCTGGTTTGAGCGTCTGCCTGTGATCAAATTTGTACTCGAGGATCGCTATAACTTTGATGTCAAACGCTTCGCCAAGCTCAATGCCTGGATTGAGCTCATGCTGAAGGATGAGTGGGTTAAATCCTTCTATGTCACGCCTGAGCAGCACGTGGAGTTCTGGCGCACCCGCAAAGCCGGCAATGCCAACTACGATATGCTTGCTTGAGCCATAATTACAGATTTTTCTTGTTGTTCATGTTATCGGAGTTAATGTAAAACATTTTATTTTGTTTAATTCAAATTTTATCTTAATCCGGGTTGAGTTTATACAAATAAAGAGTGGAATATTTTAACTATTGTCTACATGTCTAGTTATAGTAACTTAGTCAGGCTTCACTGTACCGGTTTTATGTGTGTCACACGCCGCAATGCACCCCCAAAGGTTCACACACAGCCCACCAAGTTCAGCCGCGGTAATGCACACCTTTCGGCGAAGGGCACCTCAATTGAAAACCTTATAAAGGTGCTGATTAAGTGAACTCCAAGCACCAGTTGCGTCTCGCATCAAGCAACACACATCATGAGCAGCGGCAGACACTTGGCAAAAGGTAAGCAGCTCCGCAGTCGGTCCTAGTTGCTCAAAAAATCTAATCTGCAGGCTCTGGGACGCCCGATGTGCCTGAGGATGGCATCTTAAGGCTCTACTCCATGCGCTTCTGCCCCTTTGCCCAGCGCGTGCATCTGGTGTTAGATGCCAAACAGATACCCTATCACAGCATTTATATAAACCTCACAGATAAGCCAGATTGGCTGTTCGAAAAGAATCCCGAGGGCAAGGTTCCAGCGCTGGAGCTAGTGCGCGAGCCAGGTCCGCCCGTCCTTACCGAGTCGCTGCTCATATGCGAGTACCTGGACGAGCAGTATCCACTGCGTCCGCTCTACCCACGTGATCCGCTGAAAAAGGTGCAGGAGAAGCTGCTCATCGAACGCTTTGGTCCCGTTCTCGGCGCCTTCTTCAAGGCCTCTGATGGCGGCGACCTGGAACCGTTCTGGAGTGGCCTCGACATATACGAGCGAGAACTGAGCAGGCGTGGCACACTCTTCTTTGGCGGCGAACAGACGGGCATATTGGATTACATGATCTGGCCCTGGTGTGAGCGACTAGAGCTGCTACAGCTACAGCGTGGCGACGACTACAACTATGACGAAAAACGTTTTCCAAAGCTGGTGAGTGTTTAAGTCTGTCAACTGGCGCTCTCAAATCTCATCGTTGCGTTGCAGACGGAATGGCGAGAGCGGATGAAACGTGATCCTGCTGTGATGGCCTTCTATATGGAAGCCGAGGTGCAGGCCGAGTTCTTGCGCACGCGCAGCGCCGGCAAACCCAACTACAATCTTTTGGTCAAGGATGCCTAAACTGTGTCCATGTTTAAGGGAGCAATAAATATGTTTGAGCTAATCTAGAAGAGCACGACTATAATTGGGTTTCCTTAACAGATTTTGTCTTTGGCCAAGGCAATATCAATGATATTGAGGCACATTATAGCCAAGACACATACAATCACATTTCAAGAGTAATTTATTATTGGGCCTGTATTATTCCATAACTTCATTTGTACAATCTCATTCTTCTGCAGCAACTGGGAAAGCCATATCATAGTTGGGCTGGCCTTCCTGGCGCGTGACCATGAATTGGGCATGGGTCTCGCTATCCAGCGCTATTTCCTTGATGGCCTCATCCTTGGCCATTAGATCGACCCAATCTAGCAGTTTAGCATAGCGAGCTCTGTCCAGTTCATATTCCCCGGGCACTACATGCTTGAGTGCTGGGAATCGTTCGAACCATGGCCAGATCATGTAGTCCACCATTCCAATTTGGGCGCCACCAAAGTAGGGCGTTGCACGGCGGGTCAGCTCCTGCTCGAACACATCCAAAGCATTCTCGAAATTGGGCAATGCATCCCCTGGTGGATCTTTGGTGAACAGCACGGGATACACGGCATCGATAGCTGGTGACAGGCGCTGAATGAGTATTTTATCTTGAGCCTTCTGCAAGGGATCTTCGGGTAGCAGTTGACGCACCGGGTACAGCTCATCGAGATACTCGGCGATGACTAGAGATTCCACAAGAGCCGGTTGGCCAGGCACAGCGGTTAACTGAAGAGCGGGCACCTTGCCCAGGGGACTGAAGTCGGTGTACCACTCGGGCTTCTCGGTCAGATCAATGTAGATCTTATGATGTGGAATATGCTTGGCAGCCAGCACCAACGAAGCGCGCTGTGAGTAGGGGCAGAACCGCATGAGGTAGAGGCGTAAGATTCCATCATTGGGCAGCTCCGGTTTGGGCGAACCTGTTGGTGACGCATGCACAAGGCAGATCAGATAGGTGAATGGTCTGTGATGTGTGTCATGGGAAACTACGTTTTGTAACTGTCTCAAAAATATGGGTAACGCGAAGCCGGCGTATTTATATTTTTGGGTGACATTGAAACGTACCTTTCTTAAAGTGCTTCAGCACATCCATGATGTCAATGATATCGTAGCGCTCACTTTCGTGCTCAGCTGCTATTTGATAACAAACTTTGAGTTTGTAAACAATTTATAATCTACATACGAATTTTTTCTCTCTGGTTTTGTTACCGAACGAAGCTTTTATACCTAACAGCTGAGTGCTAAGTCAGTTGACTGTTAGCTTACAGTCTGTTAACTTGAGCAACATGCACGAGCTATCGATATAACTGCATTACCGATAAGCTTACCAGCAAGCTCAAATTCAAATGCCAAACAATCGTTACACTTTAGACATAATTTATATTTCCATTAATTTCTTTTCGTACTTCTTTTATATGACAAACTTATACATTTATTTTGAATTTTAACTAAAATTTAACTACCACAGATAGGTTGCAACTATATATTAAATGTATATATAATATAATTTGATACATACATAAAAACATACATATATTTATATAGATTTTCGTATTGTGTGTATATGTATATAATAAATGTTTTACTTGTAAATTATGGTCGCTGATATAATTATATTAGATGTAACTCTAAACAGATGTAGTTTGACAATTTCTACATTTCTATAACGTTGAGATTTACATGAATAATTGGTTTATATATATAATTGTATGTTATAAGCATGTACGTACGTATTTTATGTATGAGCGTATTTATAATTTTAATTGAGGTCCAGACATGACCGCTTAACTAAATACATAACTCTTGCACTAGGCTAAAAAACTAGACAAAATGATAACTAATTAACAATTAAGGTAAACATTTATTGGAAATCTTGCAATGTGTGTGTGTGTGTGTGTGTGTGTGTGTGGATGTGGGTTCTGTTTTGTTGTTTCCCTTTTTCGTATTTGCACGACTCAGACCGTCGTATCCGGTGGCGGTGCAATGGGTTGCTTAGACTCGGAAACATCCAAACGTGTAGCTGTCGCATTCGTTGTGCCGTCCTGCTGGTCCGGCGCAATATCAATGCGATGCGCCTTCCGCCAAACGACCAAATCCATGAGGAACGCCAAAAACATAATGCCAGCCGTAATGCCTGCCGTAGACAGAGAATTGCAGTCACTGTTACCCTTTGGTAGAGCTTCGGCACTTACCCAAAAAGTATTGCCGGAAGGTGTCCGCATCGTAGAGCGAACAGGCGCCATGTTTGCCACAAACCGATTTCCAGATGAGACAGGCCGAGTCCACCACAGCGCCATAGATAATCGGGCAAGGAACATTACCAAACAGGCCGATGGCTGACTGGATGACGCCCATGGCCATGGCTTTATCTAGTTGGGTAAAGTAAAGTTCATGAGATTTGAGATTCTACGCCTGGTGGATATTTGATAGCTGAGCTTGGACTTACCTTTAGGATGTGTACAGCGCATGACGAGCAGCATGCTGCCCACCTCAGAGGTGGAATGCATAAATACGCAAATGGCAAAAATCGCTATAAAGTAGATGAAGTTCTTGCAGTTATTATCACAGTAACCAGTGACTGCCTCAGCAACTGAAATGTGACAAAAATTGAAAGTGAGTGTGAGGCAAATGGTTCGCATGTCAAAGTTTACCATTTGGAATGCAAGCACAATCGGTGTAGAGTGTGCGATTGTCGCTGAAACGCAGCTGGGAGCTGCTGCAGCCGGCATGGCAGGCCGAGATGTACATTTTGCCATCGGTGCCGCAAATGGGCGCGAAGTTCTCCTTATCACAGGTACAGTTGAGCACGGCGCTGCAGGCGGGCTCAATCATGGCGGGGCTACAAAAGAGAAGGGAATATCATGAGTCACCGTTCCAAGATTCACTGATCGTGAGCTGCTACTCCCACCTGTTGGCATCGCCCGGCTTGTAGCCAGCAAAATCGTTGGTGCTGCAGCCGATGAACATGAGTATAATCATTCCGGCGGAGTAGACGAGCGCTGTGAAGGCGATCCAGGCGGCAACGCCGCGAGCCGTTGGCTTGCGCTTCAATATGAATAGACCTGAGATGACAATGCCAATGCCCATGACGAGGATGCCGCAGAAGGCGGCGATCATGTTCGCATCGTAGGTGGCCAGCCGGAATTGCGTCTCCAGATACTTGGGCAGAAATGTGTAGAGTCCCGCAATGGGCAGCAGGTGAAAGACGCACGAGGCTGTGCGAAACATGAGTATATCGTTGCTCAGCTGGCGGCGCACAGTCTTGGGGAAGTCTACAGAGGATTACATACATTACTACAGTTTTATATCAATCGTAGCTTGGCTTACCCTTCAGCTTGGGTTTCTCCTCCGGCTCGGGTGCAGCGGCGGCAATGGCGGCAGCTGCCTGCGTCTGCTGCTTGCCGGTCAGCTGCTTGGGAAACGAGAACATGGCAATGGAGGCGAGCAGCATGAGGCTGCCGATGGCAACGGGTCCCAGCCACCAGGCGCCGATCCAGCGCGGATCGCTGGCATCGAAGCCCGGATTGGCAAAGTTCACATACCAGCGCGTGCAGAAGCTGCCCACAATGAAGCCGGAGGCGGGGCCCAGGATACGCATGCCGATCGTAACGGCCATATACATGGGCGACTGCTTGCTGCCCACGTTGTCATCGATATAGGGTATGCCCAGGGTGGCCACAGCCGTCTGCCCGATGCCCGAGCTGAGCAGGCTGCCAAAGAAGATGCAGAGCACGATGACCGTGATCTTGGAGTGCGAGGCTTGCTCCAGCTGGCGCTGCTCATTGCATTCGCTGCCAGCCAGTGTGCCGTTCCCGCCCAGCGTGCAGAGATTCGGATCTGTGGCATTGCTCCACAGGGGGGACGAGACGGCGCTAACGGCCGGCGTCTGTGGCTGCAGGAACACGCTCGACTGCATCAGCTGCTCGCCGAAAATGAAGTGGGGCAGGGCACAGGCGAAGGCCGCGATGGAGAACAACACCATGCCGCAGGCGATCCAGCGTGGTCGGTGGCCACGCCCCGCAAAATAGGTGAGCAGCATCGCAGTGCTGATCTGGCCCATCTCGCTGGCGCTGAGCAGAAAGCCCGTTGTCTTCGACTTGATCTGGAAGAGCTTCTCGATGGTGGTGATCACGGAGACGAAGTACGTCATGTACATGCCCTGCAGTATGTAGGCCAGCAGGAACACCACCATGAACACGTGCGTCGAGGCAAAGCGACGCGCCCAGCGTGGCCGACAGCCAAAGAGTCCGCAATTGGAGCCCTCATCGCCGCCGCCATTCAGATCCGAATCGAAGTCGGATTCCTCGGACTCACTGCCGCGTGCCCCACCACCGGCACCGCCGCCAGGTGGCAGCTTGTAGCCGCCAGTCAGTGGTGCCTGCTCGTGCGCATACTTTTCGCGCAGACTGTGCCCGTTGCCATTGTTGTTGCTCAGCAGCCCGTTCTTCAGATTGTTGATGTCCTCCGACGCCTTCCACTCGTTGTTGTTGCTCGGCGTGCTCTCGTACAGCATTGTCGTTGGCGCTGTGGGCGTGGCGGTGCTCCCGTCGCCCCCATTTGTGCTGTTGTGCTGTGCGAGCAGCGGCGTGAAGGCCTGCGTCGAGTCACGCCTGCCGCCCCCGTTCTGATGGTAGCCATTGCCATTCGTCTGCTGCTGTTGCTGCTGGTGGGCGTGGCCATTGCTGGGCCTCGACTGCTTCTGTTGTCCATTGGCTGCAGCTGCTGCTCCCACCACAGGCGGCGCCTCAACATCGCCTTGACTCTTGCTCATGCTGCACGTTGCGTATACGTAATGTGGAACGCGCTCACTAACTGCTGCTGCTGTTGCTACAACTGATCGTTAATTAGAGCACTCTCTTTGCTTGCAGTTCCTTATCTGCTGCTTCCTATTTTGTGTGATTTTTAGTGACTCTGGGATATTTGTGGTTCCATTTTACCTAAGCAAGTGGCGGCTGCAACTACATTAGAAATGCATCAACTGAAATCTCTCAAAGGCAATCCTTCTGCAATCCTATGGGGTGTGAGTTGAGTGTGTGCGCTTTATTGTTGTGCCTGGCCAGCAACGAGGTAGTTTTGGTTGTTGTTCGCGTTGTTTGTTGTCAGTTACTTCAGTGTTGCAATATGGCAGTGTTATCTAAGGGAGGAAAACAGATCAGAAGAAAAAGAAATAAATAATTAAAATAAAATGATTATTTTTAGAAAAATTAAATATAATATAAATAATATATATTTTTAGAAATATAAATTGCTTATATCAACCAACATCAGTCGATTTCTACACACGCCACACGTGAGAATTGCATAGAAAGGTCTTTTGCACACTCGCGCCTTTTGGCTAGGCAACATAATATTTAACGTCAGATATATTTACATACAAACATAACTTAAATGCTTTATCTATCTGTCTATATTTACTCTAATACACTCAGATAATCACAATTCAATTTTATACTGTGTAATTACAATGTATTCGGTAATCGATTATAAATCATTCAATTTCAAATTCACTAAACGGCAAATCTCGCACGTTCGCTATGGGGCGTTAAAAATCAAACTAAGCGAACGGAGCTCAAACGCAGACTGCAAAAAGCGCAACGGGGGAAAAATATAAATATATATAAATAAAAAAAAAATTGTAGCACAAAAAACCAATTAAAAGCGCGTTCAAAGTAAATACTGGAAGACGGCATCAGCAGCAGCAGTCGCAGTCGCTGTGACTGAGACAGCGACTTATCAGCTCATGCACACACACACACACATAGACATACATATTCACAGTGCGTCAACAAAACGCAGCGCATAGCTACAAATACAGATACAGCTATATATGTGCATATATAGTAACACAATTCGTACAGTCCATATCAAAAATAAGAAACAAAAAAAGTAAAAGCAAAAGTTGCAATACAAATTTTTTTTTGCCGAAAAAAACGTTTTTTTGTGATAAGCTTTCAAGGTTAATTGATTAGAAACTTTTGTTTATGGCTTCTAATAATAACACATAGTATATTGCAAAGGAATTCCCAATTGAAATTATTGCAATTTTGGAGAATGAGAGATGCCTGAAGAGAAGTCATCCAATCGCTATGAATATATAATATAATGATATAATGCATTAATTTTAAGAACATTTTAAAGCACTAGAAACAGTTTCCAGTATATAAAAATATATACAAAAAGCAAAGATTAGATCATTAATCAAGATTGGCACATTTGAATGCTGAACTATATATAATATAGGTATAATCATTTTATAAATTTCATTAACTGCTTGCAAAAGCAAATATTAACACAGTTTGTATAAATCGCATTTGGTTCGTATCTCTCGCTGACATTTATTTTATTTGATTTCTTTTGCTTTTTGTCTCTTTTTTTTGTTTGTTGTCAACAATTTCAATGTCAGCCAAAAAAAAAAAATATATTTGCAGCTATTTTAGAGAGTCTCAACTTTTTTTATGGCCCCACTTCTATGCGGCATGTGCATATAGCATGTGGAATAGCTATTATAATATGTATAAAAAGCTATGACACAATAAAGTTCTGCTACGCCTCGCTCCTCTATCATCCTCTTGCCTATCTTTCATATACTTTCGCTGCCTTTCTCTGCAAACGCAGTTGCTGCAGTCCAAATCTTATCGAAATAACTGAGCTGATAATGAAAGTGAAACTTGCTCAGGTGCGAAAGAGATGGCAGCTAGATGAAATGCAATCATAAATGGAATGTACAGATACAAATGCTTTATGCTACATAATATACTCGTAATATCTAGAGAGCTCATTATATACATACATATAGTACGTGCAGGCCATGCTGTTAGAATTTGATATCTTTTTGGCAGCTATAGGGTATAGGTTAAGTCGTTCTGCTGAGAGTTTTAAAGCAATTGCGCATTTTACGCAAATTTATTTTGCGTTCTTCGAATTTGAACATTTGCTAAAGAGATTTTAGCTTTTGCTGTGCATAATTAGAATTTGTTAAGACTTAACAGTTTTTTTCTATGTTAAGCCTATTGATTTATAACATAGATTCCAATGTTAACATTAACAGCGCAGTCACTGCAATCGCAAGCAGACCAAGATTTGACTGTTAAAATGTTTCATTCAACTAGATTCATCTAGAACTAAAGTTCGTTTGCTTAATTTATGTTCTGTTTGAGCTGTAAGCTAAGCCTCTAACTGCAATTTGCTGATTACACTTGATAGCAAACATTTAAAGTGATATGAATGCCCCATTCGCTGCAGTTGCAGTTGCAATTGCAGTTGGCAAATATGCAAAGAAGATTGCGTTGCCTCTGCTGCAGTTGGCCTATGCACTTGGCCAAGAAGGGCTGACTGGTTGGCTACTTGGCTGGTTGGTTGGTTGGTTGGTTGGCTGCCCAGCTACCAGTTCCACACAGTTGAGAGGAGAGAATGCTGCCCAAGTACCTGACCATTGAGGACAGGTAAAGCACATTGAACTCATCCTGGTCACTGAACGAGCCGCAAGCTGCCCGTGCTGCACGCTTTAAGCAACCCATACATGAGTGTGTATATGTGTGTGTGTGTGTGTATGTGTTTGTCTATTATTATTTTAAATTTGGTTTAATTTGTTGGTTAATTGCTGCTCAATTTGTATTGCTGCTTACATAAATGTGACACTTGATATAGATACTAGATGGGTTTGATTTGCTGCTGATTTGCGCATGTCAATCATAATCAATGCAATTAAAGCCGTTTACGAAACCAAGTCACAGTCACTCACATACCCTGGGTTTCCATTTCAATTGAGCTGGGTGATAAATATTGATGGCTAGAATCGATATATCGATGGGAAATACGTTAACCGGCGTGCTGCAGTTGAAGGCGGTTGACGACGTCGGGGGCGACGACGACGGCGTCTCAGTGCTTGCCACACTCAGTGCGTGTCGTTTTTCCGGTTTTTGTGGCCACGCCAGCTGCTCAGGTGGCAGAGGCGGAGCAGAGGCAGTTGGGGGCAGCAGCCAAGTGCTTGCCACATCTTCCGTCTTCCGTCTTGGCCAAGACGACGTAACTGCTGCGGCTGCTGCTGCTGCTGTTGTTGCTGACTAAGTTATTACGCGATCTTGTTTGGCTCTGGTGTGTGTGTGTGTGTGTGTGTGTGTATGTGTGCGTGTGTGTCTGTGTGTGCATTTGAATTGCGCAAGCGCAACTATTGCATGCCAACATGCAACAAACCAGACACACAGGCAACACCGACAACAGCGACAACAGTTGCTGACAAGCGGCAACAAGTGCCAGCCAACAAAAGCCACAGTAGAAAGCTACAACAACAATTGTTGTTGCCGCTTAGAAGCAGCATTGAAAGTAAATTGCAGACTAGCATAAAGCAAAAGCCACAACAGAGTCAAAGTCGAAGTCAAACTAAGAATTGTTGTTGGCAGCCCCAGCCCCAGCCCCAGCCCCAGCCCCAGCTCTAGCCCCAGCCCAAGTCGGAGTCGGAGTCAGAGTCGTGGTTGGAGTCCCAGCGCCGTCCATTATCATGCTACCATCTTCATAATGAGCTAAGTTGAAAAAAAAGTGGTTTAGCCACATTTCACTTTTAGCATAGAAATCATTTAGAACTTGTCTGCAACTCTTGCTTTATGTGGCCATTTATTATTTGTCGAGAAGCTCACCAAGTTTTTTCTATTTTCTATTTTGTTGAAAATGACTGTGGAAATGTATTCTATCTTAGAAATTGAAATGGGCAGATGGCTTGAGAATATGCCCAACATTTTGGGTATATGAGAGAATATTAAAGAAAATCAAATTTTTCTGCGGCGTATAATATAAGACGACGACTGACCCGGAGCTAAGCAGTACAAAGCAGTAATAGTTCAATCTATAGAAAAACTTTGATCAAAGCTTTGTCCTCTAACTATATGCAACACACTATTATATATGTAGATTGTATAATATTTCCAAGGTTTAGTAGTCTGATCCCACTAAATGTGACGATTTAAGGCATAATGGTTTTGCTAAAATATATATAGAAGTAAAGATGATATATCATATCCTTTATTATATTATTATTATATAAATTATATTTAGCACTTTTCGTCAGTTCATCGTATCGAACTCAGAGCTAAGAGCTAATTTATGGAATACAATTAAAAACCAAATAGATCAGCGCTCTTTTCACAAAAGTCTATTATAAGAATCAATATATAATTAATTATAATAATTTTTTTTTTTTTACCATAATGACTAAGAACAAGACTAAGGAACAGCTTTCAAAAGCATGATACGTTCATATATACATATATAGATATTATTTTTCAATTAGTTAAAATTATAAACAGCTTGAATCACCTGCAGCGTAAGCAATATATATACATATACATACATACATATTTATAACTATAGTAGGTAATAGGATAGTCATAGGGCAAAGTAGCTCCTTAAATGCGTCGCATTCCCTGCTCAACTTCATATTTGAGTGGCTATCAGCAGTTTTGTTGCTTTTGTTGTAGTTGTTGTTATTGTTGATATTATTATCTTTTTTTTTCTCTGGCTTTGTCGCCTTGACTTTGACCTTCACACCGAAAGCCGAAAACCGAAATTAAAACCAATTCAACACACAACAACAAAGTTGAGCGGTTTATTTTGTTGCGAATTTATTTCGCTTATTTATTTATTTTCATTTTGAACAAAACTTTAGACCGACGCGTCGGAAGCAAGAGAATGCCCAAAAAAAAAAAAAAAATTAAAATAAAGTCTCAAACAAAATTTGTTTATCACATTTACATATGTATATAAGCGACATTTATACATTTTATACACATACATAAATTTATATATGTATATTATTATAATTGAAGCCGCATTTTATATGTTTATTATGACAGGTTTATACACTATATATGCATAGAGCATAATCTTGATCGGGCTGAAGACTTGAGTCGATTGTTGGGTCTCTGTACGCTTGCTCTTAATATTTTGTCTATAATATTTTCATACTCTACGTTTGCTTACTCCTTACTCAAAGTAAATACAGAAATCGACTCAGTTCACAATTGAGCAGAAAATTCAAACAGACTCAGAGAAGGGCTCTTGAGCTTTTCCTCTATTTTGAGTGACGTTGGCTGATATATAAGAGGCTAGCCTGGGGCCGAGCTCCTTTAGTCGCCTTCCGGAACTCCTGGTGATCAGTGGCTGTGCAAGGTGTATTTTTTTTTTTTTTTTTAATATTGAATATTTTTTCTATTTTTTATGAATAAAATAATTCATATATTTTAATTTGTATATGTAATTTTTTTATATATTTAATATTGTTATTTATTTAAATATTAAATCAAATTTGTAAAATTATTTAAGAACTGTGATTTATTTATGTTATTTATATATTTAATATAATATAATTTTTATATTACTCATAATGATTATGATAATAATATTGAGAGCTATCATAATCATGCTATCTATTTTAAATGACAATTAAATGTTGATTATTATTATGATGATGTTTATTTTTATGATAATGCATAATACATATTTAAGTATTTAAGGCGATATTTTCTTTAATAATTAATGATGATCATCAGCTAGAGTCTCAGTATATCTCCTAGTCAATGACACCCGGCAAACGCCCTCTTATTGCTGTCAAGCGTAAAGTGTCAAAAAATAATAATTGGATCTCTCTTTATTTAACAAAATTTAATTTGAGTTTTATTATAGCTTTATTTTTCGGAGAATGATTCATGGGCTTTACATATTTTTTTATGGGATTGTAATCCTATTATGGCAAAACATAAAAATATGACCAAAATCCAGAAAAAAAAGAAACAAAAACTCGGATTATAAAACAATTATTTTTATTGTTATTCGAGCTGTTTGGAAATGTACGATCACGATTAACTGACTTACCTATATGTACATTTGGTTTTTAAAGTGGAACACGCATGTTCCGACTCAAATGTATATATCTGTGTATATGCATATATGATTCATGGTACGATGACAAAAGGTGCGGCAACAAGAATTGAGAAGAACAACAACAAATGGAACAACAACAACAACTACAATATAAACATGCATGCGAATTATTTAAATTTCAATGCAAACGAAATTTGTATACACTTTAATATATACTCACAGATGTATAAATATATGTATATATGTGTAAATACAATTTAAATATATTTTATTTGCCTTTTCGAGAACGAGTTTTTAATTATTTACTCAAATAAATTCTAAACCAGTTTCCATATAAGAAGTGTATATTTTAGTGATATTCTAGAAAATGCAGCAAAACACATATCTGAGTCAATATTCCTCGCTCTATAGGGCAGACATAAAACAAAACAACAAAAACAAATTCAAATATATACAAAAAGAAAAAGAAGAAAAAAAAAAAAACAAACAGAAAAAAGTTTTTGCACATGGCTTTAGTTTATATATTTTATTTATTTTGTGCGCAGCAGTTGCTTTTCTTTATGCGTACTTTTAACAACAACAAAAACAGAGAGAAAACAAAAACAAGCAAGCCACAGTGAAGCAATGAACGACTGGCAGACACCCCGCAGCTCACTTGTGGTTTAGTGAGACTGATTAGAGCAGAAAAATCATACATTAAATAAGGCACTATTTAAAATTAAAATATATTCAATAATGACAATAAATAAATTTTGTTCATTTTTTGATGGAAATAAGAGGTCAATCAAGCATTTCTAATACTCCTTTTAATGAGTATTAAGTATACCCCATTATAAGAATTCGAGCAATACAGTTGTCAACTCACATTTATTACTTAAATTGGCAGTATACCCCATTGTAGGCATTGCCAATTTGTACAGGGTATATAAAGAATAAATGAGAAAAAACAAACTTCCTTTTTGGCGGCGCTTGTTAAAAATGCAAAAAAAAAGCCAAAAATGAGACGAAAGAACAGCAGCCGCAAAACGAAAGCTAAAAAAAATAAAAAGAGTATATATGTATATATATCGGAATATATATAAATACATATAAATAAGAAGTGTACAAAAAGGCGAAAAAAAATTAACAACCTCAAAATGGCAGCGAAGTGTGCATAAATTTTTGAAATGACCGAAAGAGCCGAAAAAAAATTAAATAAATAAAGATACAAAAATGAAGAGAGACAGAGAGAGAGAAAGAGGCAGGGAGAGATGGTGAGTAAGAGAGGGGTAGATATAGAAAACGAACGAACCTAATGAAATGCAATCAAAAATGCATTTTAAGAGAAGTCTGCATTAAGTCGGGAGCTGCTGCTACATGGCACCAGGTATATATATAAATATAAATATATATACATATATATATACCTGGCCGTATCTGGCGCGCAGATCAGACGAAAAAGAAGCTGAAGAAGATGGGAAAGAAGCAGAACCACAAGCAGCAGCAGCAGCAGCAGAAGAAGTTGTTCAAATTTATTTAAGCATATTGCCGACAAAAATAAAATAAATTCAAGCGTTTGCCTTTTGCTTGCCCGCCACAATTTACATTTGTCATTTCGATGCACAGTGGTACGAAATTGACTTTTTTAGAGAAATACATTAATTTAGAATTTCAAATATTTGAAAACTTAGAAACCAGGGCAACCAAAAGAAGCAGTTAAATCAATACGATATGTGTGGTCGATATGTGTGACCAGGGCTGCAAAATGTAACAATACGAACTAAACATTTGTTCAGCTCCAGCTCAGGCGAACTATAAACTTATCGAAGCTATCATAGTTCACAATTTAAAAACAAAAAACGAGCTGCAGCTTATCGAATTTTTAATTCACAATTCATTTCAAATCAAGCCATAGGAATCAAGTGATTTTTCATATTTGACATCAATACTCAAGCTTAAGTTCAAAAATTGATGTTTTGTATACAAAAATCAATAATTCTGAACCACTGTGCTGTCAACGCTGTCTTCGTCAAAAGGAAAAACGAAGGAACGAAGCTCAAGCTCAAATATTTGTTCTTAATTTAAAGAGAACCTTTATTCTTCTGATTGATTGAACTGCTGATTTAAGCGGCTTTTTCTTCTTAGGTTCAGGTCCTGTTCAAGGGGCCCGGTGAGTGCACAAGGTGCGTTGAGGTGTTAACTTGACTTAAATGTCGGTACCGTTATAATGCTAATTGAAGTCTTATAAATTGTTCAACATTTTCTTTTGGCTGCTTCCTTCTTTCTTTTGCTTTTTTAATTTCGCAAAAGAGTCGTCAGTTTTTTTTTTATTTTTTTGTATGTGCATTGATTTTTGCAATTAACGCCTAATTAGCTGCCAGCGTACACAGACACTCCAAATACTCTGAGTTTCGCATAATATTTAGTAGTTGGCAGTCCATGAAATCCATTCGCATCGCCACTCAAAGTGTCAAGTGCGTTTGCCTAGGGACATGGACTGAAGTTACGATTTCCCACATAGAACTAGTCGACACTCTGTGGCTCTGTTTGAGTAGGTCTCTTATTCATCATCATCATTATCATTATTTGTTTATGAACGTACTTAACAGTTTTTGCGACGCACTTTTTTGACTACCTGGCCCAACTCTCTTTCTCTTTCACTCCTTTTGGCCACACACTTACTTCAACAATATTTTCAATTGTTTAAAAATTCTGCGTGCGTGAGTTGGTTTTTTTTTTTTTTTTTTTTTACTTTGCATTGTTGTATTTTTTGGGTTATTGCTTTTTTGTATGAATTTTTAACTGCCTTTTTTTAGCGTTACATTTTACATTAAGTGTTTATTTAAGGCTGGGTCCCAATAGCGAATTGTATTGTTTACTTACTTATTGTTTACTTTAGTTGAAGTTGGCATTTGTTGGATTGTTAGCTGCAAAATAAGCGAAGGGTTTCAGACGATTAGAGAAATGGATGAGTAATATACTCTAATAGAAAACATATATAATTTTGTGTAATATAGTGTATAGTTAATAAAATATGTAAATATGTCAAGAAAGTTCATGAGTTTTGAAAAGTAAATAGACTTATTGATTCTGTAGAGCTATGATTAAGCTAAGAATTATTTTTGTTTGGATTCGTTGGCCTAGTGCTAAATAAATTTTCTAAGAACTCAAAATGAAATTTATAATTTTTTGTGCTTTCCGGCTTTTGACCTTCTATGGAATCATAGTTTCAAGAGTTTAAATTATTTATTTCTGCACTTGCTGCCCTCATTTAAATGAGACCATAGATATACAAAATACTTAAGTGCCCTGTTAAATAGTTTACGTTTGCTTTTCCAGCCCTGGCATTAAATGAATTCAATTTGAATCGCTAGGGCTTGCAGCCCTGCTTTCTAATTGAACATTGAATCCTTAGCTAGGCTTTTACGTAATTTTCCTTGTTAAAGGCAGCCCTGGCTCTAAATAAATTTATTTAAGAAACTCCTTTAACAACAACAGCAAACTCAATTTAAATAGTTAGCTATATTAAGAGCAACTTATTTTTAGGGCTTCTTCAGATTTCTAAATATGTAGTGCATATATGTATGTATGTATGAATGTATGGTCCCTCCATCTTAATTAACTGCTTGTTTCGTAGAGCAGCGTCATTTAAATGCAAAATGCTGGCCATAAAAATAAAAAACACCAACAGCAACACCAACAACAACAACAACAGTAAAAAGCACTACAAACTGCACGTTTAGTTGGCTCATAACAATTACAGCAAAAGTGATTAACAGCTATAAAAAGCCAACGACAAGAAGAATCAGAGCAACAACAACAATAACAATAACAACAGCAACAACAACAACAACAACAAGTTGAGCTGATCAGCAAAACAAGTTCGTCGCTTGCATTGCGTGTGAAAACAATTTATGAACGAGCATTTAAACAATTTTTTGCATTGCAACAAAAATAATATTGCAATAAAGAACGCATTACAAGGGGGCAAAGTGTACAATGAATGCAAATGTTGTCTACATCAGCAGCAGCAACCACAACTGAAATCGATGTGCACGAGCAACAACAATGGCTGCACGCCAGCAGCAACTACAAATGACGACAACAGCTACAACTACTATAACAACAACAACAACAACAATAAGCTATATGAAAATAAAAGATAAATGAGCGCAAATGTCTGTCAGTTTGTCTGTTCGTCTGTTTCTCTCGCTCTGCCATATGCGTGTGAGCAGTGTGTGTGTGTGTGAGAGTGAGTGAGTGAGTGTGCTTGTGTCTGTAACAAAAGCAAGAGCACAACTCGCATTGCATTGAGATAGGTCAGTCACATACAAAAACACACACACACATATACACACACGAAGAGTCTCACAAATGCAACGGTGCACTCGCTGCCAAAGCTTTACACATGCAGTTAATGCAGCAGCGCTGCCGTAGCGACGCCGACGTCAGCGCCAACGGCAACGTCAACTGCTCTAATTACTCTGGTCGTAAATCGTTGCTAGGGGTGGCCCAGCTGCATCGTTCTCTGCCTCCTGCTGCTGCTCTGTTGCCAAGCGTTGCATCAACAACAACAACAATAAACACAGCCGTAACAACAACAACTAACTTAACATAAAACAAGTTTTTGAGTTAATCTCAGTCTCAATTTCAGTTTCAGACGCAGACGCTGCGGCCGCTGGCTCAGCCTCAGTCGCTGCCGCTGCTGCTGTTGCCTCAATGTAAAAACTTACACAATCGCCGCATAGCGCACGCACACCAATGCAAAAGCATCTGTGACTCTGAGCTTCCCGCTCAACGATTCACTTTTCTTTGTGCAATTCCAATAATTTAGCCAGGGAGAGCATCAGCAAGAGAGGATGAGAGTGAGAGAGAGAGTGACTACGCACGCAGCAGCAGCGCGAAGAGAGCGTGAGCATAAGAAATCCAAAAAAAGCTTCAATGCTGTCACCGAGAGCAGCGCAGTCGCCAACTTGCACTTTCTGCTGCACTTTTCGTCTGTTGGCGAAGCAAACACAGAAATAGTAGTAGATTTTTCAAGTCAGCCAAAATGAAATAACAGAAATCGAGACATGCGTAGAAAATGCTGATAATACACTCTGAAAAAGCTTTTGCCTCTGTCAGCTAGGTGCGGTGCCTAGTCAAGTTCTGTTTTATTTTTTTCGCCTGGGACCTACGACAACAAAATAAATAGTGCGCCGAAAAGCTAACGACGCAATTAAAGCGGTAAAGACCCTACACAGCTTTGCAACCCCCTAAAAAAGCTTGAAAGCTTGTGCTATCTCACGCACACATACATACAGGAGAAAAGAGGGCGTCACATTACATGATACACAACGTAAGGAATATTGCGCAATTGCCAAAAATACAAAATACCAGACAATTGTCTAGACAGCGCCACAGCAGGTGGTCTAAGCGGGAGAGACAGGCAGACAGAGAGACAGCGAGGGAGAGCGAGTGAGGCAGATGAGTTGTAGACGGGCTTGGCATTATGAGCTCTTGCTCTTGCACTCAATAAACGTTAATGATCATTAAGGCGCTTGGCCATTTGCTTTTATTGTGACATAATTAGTGAAAGTGAAATTGATCAGCAAAATGCAGCAGTTGCGCCGTGCTGCGCTGCGACTGCGACTGCGGCGCTGTGCATAGACGCAAAAGCAGCGCAGCGTGACGCCGGCGCCAGCGTCGACGTTAGCGCATTGAGAGAGTGCGCCGCAGCGAAATGAAAACGAAATTAAAATTCAAAATGAAAATGAAAATATTGCAAAACTTAACACGCACACACACACACACACACACACAGATACACACGCATAGGCAGGCAACAGGCTCGACTAATGCAATTGTGTGTGAAAGTGCATTGACTTGGGACGAGCCTACCTTGACAACGTGTGTGTGTGTGTGATTGATTGAATGGGTGTCTGTGTGTGTGTGGCTAACAACCCACATTTACAGTGAGGCCAATTTGTATGATTTCAAATGCTGCATTTTGTTGCTGTTTATTCATTGTTGAGCGCAAATGGCAAAAGTGCTTTAAATAATGCTTGCTATATATAGACAGCTATGGAATATATATACATACACACATATATAGTTATTTATAGCTTGGCTATGCACATATGCGTTTCACATTTCACATAATAAATTTTGGCTGTTATTAAATATGCATAAAAGTTAAATTTTATATGGAAATGCTGGGTTTCGTTGTTTGCTTCTCTTGAAATACGATTTAAGTACTATAGCTGTATATAGCTGTATAGCTGTAGCTGTAATTTATATGGCGTGCCAGCCGCACCCCCGTACGTATATACATATATAATTAGATGGGCGTCTGCCAACTTGGCGTATGCGCAATATTTGTCCAAATCACGTATACGCCACTTGTGCCGCATGCAATTGGCATAATTTGCGAGCAACTACTACATGAATATTAGCAAATAATGCAAGTAAAACACATGCATGCGCTTGATTTGCGGCTCATTGTGCCGCTGCAACAATGTGGCAAGCGCAAATTGTGGCAAATTGTCAACGAGACAAGAATATGCACTCAACCGCAAAAACTAGTTTAGTAGGAATTATTCTTATATATATCTCCTTTATATCGGGTTACGTGGCAGTCAATTGAATAAATGGCGAGTGGGCGGTGGGTGGTGGGTGAAGGATGTACGGGTGACTGCAATGGGGTTTACTTGTGCAAAATGTGTGTTAAATTGATTGAGCGTCGTTGAGCGATTTACGAGCTTAAGCAGCAATCGCAGCCGCAGCAGCATCAGCAACATCAAAATGCCATAAATTAATGCACAAACATAAAACAAGTCTACTTAAAAATTGCATTTCGTATATAATTTTCACAAAAAAAAAAAAAAAAAAAAAAAAAAAAAAAAAACAAAATAAAACAACAACAAAAATGAAACAAGACGATTCCGCACCAGATACAAAGACGAGCCCCGTCTTTTCGCCTCTTCGACTGCCTGGCTGCCTGGCTGAGTATGAAAAGCGAAAACTGGGTCAACCTGATGCAGCTGCCTACGCAGCGTCGTCGCCATTGCCGTCTTCGCCGCTGCTGCTGCTGCTCTCTGTCGCTGTCTATCCGGCAGACGCAGACGCTACAAATATGTAACTCAAGAGATATGCAAGCCAAAATTGTATCTGTATTTGCAAAATACAAAAATCCGTCCAAAAACAAATCAACTAAAGGTGCAAGGAGTATTCGCAACGAAAAGATACCCTATAAAATGTATGCAATTATTGTGCTACCTCGCTTAGGCATTAGCTAGAGGTACGTAAAAGACTTTCCAGCTCTTATATTTTATTCTGATACTGTTAAGGCCGGCTGGTTATACCTTCTCAAATACACTTTCCAGGGTATTACTGCTTAAAAAAACGAAAATTCGCATACAAAAATATATTATAAATCATTTGTAGACGCGTTGGAAAAGTAAAAACAGCAGCAGCAAATGCGATGCCAAAAATCATATATGTATCTCGTATCTCTTGGATTTCACCCACGCTGCTGTTGATTCAACAACAACAACAACAGCAGCAGCAGTAACAACCCACAGTGTAGCAACAACAACGTGGGTCAAGTTACAACTTGTTTTTTGATTCGGTTTTTCGTGCGGAATGCATTCGCCATTGCGTTTTAGTAATCGCATTCAATGGCTTATCAGCAGAAGACACGCGACAATAACAACAACAACAACAACGACAACAACAACATTGTGTGCAAATGATAACAACAAATCACGACAATGCTTGCCTGCCTATTTGCATTTGCCCCACTGTGCGAGTCTGCCAAGTCGTGATGCCGATTCCGATTCCTCCTCGCACAAACGTTCACTTTCAAAATCAGTGAAATGTAACCGACGTACAAGCAAAAGGTAGTGAATTAATGTTGCATTGTTGCTGCTGTTGTTGTTGTTGCTGTTGTTCTCTCACTGTTTTTTTTATGCTTTAGCTATGCACATAATTCATTTTGGCTTACAAATAGAGGTTAACTTATAGGGATGCAATTATAATTAAGTGTGACAAAAGCTGCAACTTTTAAAAATACTTGACTAGGGATGGGACATAGTTAAATACTTATGTTATTTTATGCCCACAGCCATCGATAAATGACATTTTGTGAACTTTGGTATTGGCGCTGCCACCTGGTTCGACAGCTTAGCGATGTTCTAAATGATTAGAGATGTGATCGATACACAGGAACTAGTTCCTTGGCTCTCAGTAGTTAAGCAGCTGCACGAATTGTTAGAGGCAAAAACTTGTGTGATTTAAACAAGTTTTGCTTCAATAACTAAGTTGCTAGAATGTGCAATTTAAAACGAAGAGCTTTATTGTCTTTAGCCCTACCGCAATGCGAATAAACAGCAGCAGCAGCGGCAGCTCTCAATGTCAGGCATGTTATTGAACCAATAACACAGAGATCCCATTCACATGTAGATACATAACTACATATGTATGTATCTACATATATATGTGTGCATATGTGTCTGTGCAATATCAATAAATACTTGCATGTATCTTTGTGTTGTATGCAGCAGATAAAAACTTCAAGTGCAGAGAAAACTGCAAGCGGCCTTCAATGCTGATCTGACATTGAAGTGCTTCTGCATGGCGTATGCATAAAGATACATTTGTATCTTTGTAGCTGTGTGGGTGCTGCTGCCGATGCTGCTGTTGCTGCTTGGCGTTGACATAATTCATCAATGTGTATGCAAATCGGCAGGCAAACGCTTTTCTTGCCAATTAACGTTAAATGCCAAATAAGTCAGCGACTGCGGCAGTCGATGACGCGCTTGCGCTTGTTGCGCTTACATTCCGCGCAAGTTTCTTACCATAAGTAGCAGTTGTAGTCGTATGTGCTAGTGTGCGTGTATGTGTGTGTGTGTGTGTGCTTGGAGTGCGTGTCTGTGGCACTTCATGCTGCAACAAACGGCAAGCTGCACTTGACTTACTTGCCACAGTCAAGCTATCTCACTCGCTCCCCCACTCTCTCTAGCACTATCTCTTTCTCCTTCTCTATCACTGTCACTATCTCTCTCTCTCACTCTGTCTTTCTTTCTCTGTATATGTGTGTACTATCTGGTAACTGGCATCGCGCTGCCATCTGCGCAATGCATTTCACTTTCATTATGATGCAGTCGCCGCGTTTTTGCCACTAAAAATGGCAACGAGCGTTGGTTTTTCCAAGCCCAAAATGAAAACCAGTTAACGGCACACGGATTTTCCCATTTGCCATCTCTCTCGCTCTCACTTTGCCTCTTGGCTGCCTTGTCTGATTGGCCTCAGCTGACAGCTGCGCCCCGGCTGCTCACCTGGCTGCTCACCTGGCTGTCTCACCTGGTGTGTAGGAGGCGTCTCTGCCTTTGTCTTCTCATTGTGTTTTGTTAGTTGTTTTTACTTTCTTCTAATAGATCGTTAGCTTTGCTTTGAACTTGCAGCCCGAGTCGCATTTGTTGCTGTTGTTGTTGTTATTGTTGTTGTTATTTGCAATTGATTGCTTATTGTTAAATGAAAATGGAAAGTCATTTGCTTGCAGCTGCCTCCTTTTCGTATACACCCTCCGCTTGGCTCAGTCCGGCCCTGCCCCTGCCCCTGACTTTTCTTCCCCTCCACCAACTACACTTTCCCGAAAATAATTCACGGAATTTGTGTCTCAATTGTAAATTAGAGAGCGGGGTCAAGCATTTGGGCATTTCATTGCTTCAAATTCTTGAATGAGGCTCGTTTTTTCTTTTATTGATCAGCCAGCTGAGCAAACGGAACGCGAAAGTAATTACTGTTAGTCATGCAATCATCAAGAACCCCGCTCCAACCCCCTATATTTGTGCATGCGAGCATTCAATGTGCGCCGTTTCTTTCTAGATAAGTTCCCATTCAGTGTTTGTCTATGTGCGTGTGTGTGTGAGCAATAAAACCGAATGCAACCCCAAAGTGCAGTCCAGACTTTCTCACAGTGTATTTGTTGTAGCTGCCCCTGTAAGTCGCCCCCGCCCGCACGCAACAACAGAATCAATTTTTATTGGTTACACAACGACGTCAGCGCCAGTGGCGAGTGCATTGAACCCAACGACTCATGACTTTTAGTACTTCTTCGTATACTCTAAAAGTGTCAGCTGCCGTTGGGCATATTAGTTCAGTGTAAGCGATTCTTATAGGGAAATCTAGCTCATCTCTGAATAGAATCTCCATAGCCAATTTTACAGCACAGCCAACTTAATAAGTGACAGTGCTGCCAGACTGTGCAGAGTTCCTTACGAACTTTGCTTTATAGATTTTCAGTAGCGTTGCCAGACTGTGCCAAGCCATATAGCTTCACTTCAGTAAAAAACTCCTGCCATGCTTTTCATACAAATGAGATGTACTTTAAAGAGTATTTAAAAGTCTGCATGCCTAGTTGACATATTCAGTCTTCCCTTTTTTATGTTTCCCCTTTTTTATTATTTTTTCCCTATAAGCTGCTTTGTTTTTGTTGCTCTAAGTAAATAGCCAATGTATTTTATTGATATGTTTCAACATAGGCGTCTCTCTGTATAGACATTGGGGATATTCTATAGACAGACGCATTAAGACTTCTTCAGGTTTGAGCCTTAGGTCTACATTGAAAGTGTTTCAATTGGAGCAACAACAACTTTTCTGTCTATCTGTGTCTTATCTGCCAAACACAATATATTATATAGGCATATATTCCATTTATTTTATGTTCCATGCATCTCAGACTTTCTTATCAGAGGAATGGCCTCAGAGAGACCTCACAGCATAATCTGTGGACTTTTTCGAAATCAGAAATTAGCAGTTGGAACATAAATCACGATTCACAATTCCACAATTCCGATTTAAGTAAATGGTCACGGCTCTTCTATATCTATTTGCACTTTATTATTATCGTCGAGCATATGAATTCGTTGAATTTCGTTTATTAGAAACGCCAGCTGCCTTGTACGCCGCCACCGAAATTATTGCGATTCTGGTCGAAATTTCTATTGGCATTGGCGTAGGCATCGATGCTGCCACGCCCATCTCGACTGGTATAGAGATTGTGATTGTATTGAACGCCCGCCTGGCGGCCTGCCTAATCCTTGCTAGCCGTTACCACCACCGAGCCATGTTGGGGCGAACGCTCAGCTCGAATTATCCGGACATTTGGAGAGCCGGGTCCTGCTTCGGGAAAGTCCACTCGAGCAGTCACCAGAGCTGCCAGGCAACTGACCAGCAGCAGCAGAGCCAAACACCTCTTAAAAGTCATCTTCTCTGATGTGGAGAATACTTTGAATTGCAGAATTCAACTGTGCCCAGATGTGGCCAGAGATGGGTCTTTTATAGTCCAGCGTCGAGAAGTGGGATTCACTTTTGACTGAACTGTTGTTCTCGCTTGACCTACGAGCGGTACTTTTTTCTGAGACCATGTAGATTCCCGTCTATGTTCTTATCAACAACTGAGTAGGATTGGAATATATATTGTGTATATATATTATAATTTAATTTCAGATGATTTAAGGACAGGAATATTTCTGCTCTAGATTGGTCTTTTTTCTTTATTTTTTCGATATTCATAATTTCTGGTATTTATATAAAATTTTTAAATATATCACAATTTTTAAAATTTGTTATTTATCCATATTTATTTCAAACTAAAAATTTAGTATTTACATTAAATTTTTATAGCTTCCTCGACCACACACGCCTCTTCCAATAACATCTAACACTTTCTGACACATTTACAGTGCTTGTGCGACCTCTTGACCCCATTTCACAATCAAATCTGAACGCTATCAGCGCAATTAAATAGATTTTAAAAGCACTTTTCAGTTATAGGCGAATTTGTCATAACTTTTCTTTTCTAAACGCATTCCCGCATGGCCTACGCAACATTGCCATTGCGATAAGGCACGCACAAAAAAAAAAGATAGAAATAGAAATAGAAATGAAAATAAACGAAAATTAAATGGGTCTAAAACAAAGAGCCAATAAAACTAGCAGCATAAAAAAAAAAGAATTTAGTTCAGTCGAGTTCATTGACACACAAAAAGAAATCAAAATATTATGGACGGTGAGCGCCCACACAATCTTGCCTGCCCGCTCCGCCCCTCCCCCCTGCACACGCACTTTTCGGAGAGACTGTGCAGAAAGAGAACTTTTACTTATCGATGTCTAATGATGATAGAAAACGTCATAGATATGTGGGTGCGTGAGTGTGTGTGCGTATGCGTGTGCATAGGATGTTGCCCTGAACTTGAATTTGGCTTTTGTGAAAGTAAACTGCAAGTTCTTATGGACGAGCGCGGATTTCTAATCAGTTTGATTTCATTGTAGTTTATTTTTGGGGCTTTTTCCATTTTCCATTTTCCATTTGTGAGCGCAATTAGATGTGCGTACTTGAAGGCATTTGGCTACTGGCTTCATCGATTTGAATGCGAAAGTCTTTGACTTTTGTGTTCATAGATCATTTGCGGGTGAAAGTTTTTATTTCAGCTCACGAGCACACAGATACACTCACACACAGAGCCACACACTCACACACACAGCCACACACTCACACTTTTAGCTGAGTGGGTTTCATTTACTTTTATTATACGAGCTCTGGATCAGCTTATCTATTGAATATCAAGTTATGCATTTGAATATCGTTTTGTCACCTGTGGCTATTTATCTTCGCGCTGCGTGCGCTTTGTATTTTGATTTTTGTTTCTTTAATTCTTTTTTATAAGCCCACGGGGCGTATACTTTACAGAGAGAGAGAGAGAAAGGGAGAGGGAGGGAGAGCTTCACAATACCTGTCTATGTATTTCTCATCGAGCTGCCAACGAACCTATCGAAATAGAAAATCGACACGTGTTGCCAAGTTTGCCGAGTCATAATTGAATTTTTATAAGCCTGCTCAAGCTGGAGGCGCGCTCCACACGGGGCAACCTTTTCTTAAAGCCCATTCACACACACACACAGAAGCACAAACACAGCCACATTCATTGACGCGCACTGAATGAAATGCTCGCTACTTGGGTGCTGAACCGTGTCTATATATATTTATATATATATATATATATCTATATCCACCTATATCTATATCTTTATAGCTATATACATGCTTTGATGTCTGATCCATGAAAAATGCGTGGCGCACGCATGCCTTCAATATAAATTATATATATTACAGTCATCTACGTGTCGCTAGCTACATTTTGTCTTTATATTGCTGAAGATTTATTTTTTGGCAAAAATAATATGACGACAAAAAATTATTTCGTTATTGTTTAAAAGTCGTGAATAAAGCAGCCACGCCTCTGTTCTCTCGGTCTCTCTCTCTCTGTCTCAGTATTTGTCTCTCTTTCACTCACTATCGCTCACCCTTTCTTTTGCACTCTTTCTCTCTCTCTCTCTCTCTCTGTATAGCACTCTTTGGCTGTCTTTATTATTTGCTTTTCAAGTTCGTCAACTAATAGCAAAACATGAAAATGCAAAAACGAGCGACTAAAAAATAAATTCAGACAGACATTGAATGCTCTTTCTTAAGTGTTCTAGATGCGTATTGCATAAAAGATCTTAGTTAAATTTATATCGAGAATACATATAAGAAAATTTAAGTAGAGGGTCTTTAAAGACTCTAAATGGATAAATGTGGATAAGATATAATAAATATAAAATATTTCCAAATAAATATTTTTTTTAATAATATATATGAAAGAGTTAGCTCATAGCTCATATGCCTATCCTTAGAGTATCTGGAAAAAAACCCGCCAAGTCGTTTGAATACGTATAAATTAAGAATAAGAAAAAGAAATACCAAAAACAACAACAACAATGAGAGAGCATAGCGCACGCACAAATAACAAAAAATGTTGTTATTCTTTATTTTTTTAGCACGAAAGTTTTTGTTTTTATTTTTTTAATAGATCGTAGAATTTCATGGAAGTCAGAAAGAAACAGCAAGAGCTTTTGACATTTGCCAGAGAGTTCTGCGAGCAGCAGTTGGAGCTGGGAGCTGGGAACTGGGAGCTGGAGCTGGAAATGGAGATGAAGACGATGGAGCATGAAACAGCAGCCGGATCAAGAGGGAGGCTGTGGGGCACATTGAAATGCCGGTTGTTGCAGATGTTGTTGTTGTTGTTGCTGTTGTGTTTGCCTTTAAGTCAAGTTCAAGGACTGTCAATTAAATTGAAATCACTTGCTAAAGACGCGATGCGAGCAAAACAAGATACAGATGCGTGTGACTGTGAGCAGACGAGTGGCAGAAAGAGAGAGGGAGCGAGAGAAAGAGAGAGAGAGGGAGAGAGGGGCAATTGTGGCTGTGGAGGGTGTGGCAGTTATCGATGGGCTGCCGAGCTGCTCGTCTTGTGGCATATTTTGAAATCACTTAGAGCACGCAATACACACATAAACAAGTGTGTGTGTGTGTGTGTTCCTTTAGCACGCAGCCTCATCCATACATTGTTGCTATCTTAGCTGATGCCGACAAGTGCTGCGTAGTTTCAGCTTTGCAATTGCCATGAAATTAACCAGGGCTGCAAAACTATGTGGAAATGAAACGAACTGAAAATGGATCAACATAGACAATAATGTGACAAGCCTGGGAATCGAAGCTGTTCTGATAAGTGGATGAGTGAGTCCGAAACATAAATAAACACTTCAAGTGTTATGGCTTTGTTGTCAAGTGCTTAAATGTAACTTTTACAGATCTTTCATATTAATATTATGGTATATAACTCTCAATTTCCCTCAATAGCTTTTCTTGTAACAAAACACGCCCCACGAGCTTAGAAAAAAACTGAACAACAACAACAACAAGCAGCAGCATAAAAAGCATCGAATTGGAAGCGTGTTTCGGGGCCAACTTTCAATTTTCAAATCGAATCGAGGTTTTTGCATACATCGCATCGGTCTCTGTGAGACGATAAAGTTTGGTCATAGCTTGCGGCATTCTGATACGCTTTTAAACAAATGCATAATTAATGCCGCATTTTAAGATCTCCGCTTTGGTGTTTTTATTCACAAATTAACATATTACCACGACATCATGCATAATTTAGTTTGTTTCATTTCCATTTTTGGGGGCTGCCGCTGCTGCTGCCCCTGCCACTGCCTCTGCCCCTGCCGCAGGGCCCACAGAGTTTTCAATGCACGTGCTCGCTAAACACTCAACTAAAATTTAGTTTTATTTATTTTCCATTATAAATTGAGACAAAATGTTTTTTAATGTTGTCGAGTAAAATGTCTTAAATAGTTTATAAATAGCAAGTGGAAAGGAAGCGGCCGGCTAGCCAAGCGGAAATTCGCAGCATTTGTCACGCACAAATACAGAAAGAAATGGAGAACAGAGAGAGAGGGAGAGTACTCTATCTCTTTCTCTCTTTCTCTCTTTCTCTCTGGCGCTCTATAAGGGCCAGTTAATATGTTTTGCCAATAAAGCCATTTCGCTGCGTTTCCAAACTCAATTTAAAGTTGTTGTTGGCTTTGTTCGCGTTGTTGTCGTTGTTGTCGCTTTTGTTTCTTTTTATTTATTTAGAATTTTGTTTTTGTATGCCAAGAATTTAAATTAGTAGTAAATCTGGTTTTTATTCATTCGATTTCGTGTTTCGCGTCTGCTGCTCAATTCTCGATTTTGTTGCTTTAGCTCTTTTCTGCGACGTTATTACAGGTGGAATTTCGGGGCTCAAATGTTGTTGTTGCTCTTGCCTGGCTCTCAGCAAACGCCAAGTCGACGCTGGCTGGCAATGGCCAAAAAACAAAAGTAATTTAATTTATATAAAAGTAATTTCTAGTTTGTGTGCTGGGCAAATGCCGGTTTATATTATTTATGCTAGACATCAGCTAGACTGAAATATTGCAGCAGCCTGAAGACTACAAAAATTTCTCTATTTAAAAAAAAAATATATATAAAAAAAATGGCCATATAATAATGAGATAGATTTGTATGCAGCGTATATGTTCCATAAACAATTACGTTTACTTTCTCCCAAAAGAAAAAAAAAAATAATAATAATAATAATGTTAAAAAAAATAAATTAATAAAATTAAATTAAAAATATTAAATAGATAAATTTATATATAGATATATAAGTATAAAAAAAATATATTAATACAAAAATAAAATTCTAAAGATTTTAATTTTCCTTATCAAGATAAAAATGATTCTTTATCTATTTAAGCATTTGCATTATGTACTTATATCTTCCTGCAATTGAAATCTTTAATCTTTAAACAAATTAATGATAATGTCCTCGATGTGGGTCATATTTGTGCAGAACCAACATGTAAGCGTTTAATCTCTGGCTTTCTTTTTATTAAAATCTCATTTCTTTCTTCTTATTTTTTGGGCAAATTGCTAAAAAGTGAAATTTACTCAGAGTCAAACAACAATATGGCGAAAAAAAAAATACAGTAAAACATTTCACAGAGTTGTAATATAAACATTTACATTAATTTAAATGGAATTTTTATTGATTTTCGACTGGTTGCATTTTTATGCATGCTGCACTTAAGAATTTATTTATGCACTTTTTCTTTTACTGTTTTCTCTCTCTCTCTCTCTCTCTCTCTGTTTGTCCGTGTGTGCGCTTTATTTCGCCTTTGTCTTGTTTTATGCGTATATAAATATTTGCATCCTGTAGCTGTGGCTTTACATGTATGTATTTGTATGTTGTATCTGTATGTTTATCTCTGTATCTGTATCTGTATCTGTATCTGTATCTGTATCTGTATCTGTATCTGTATCTGTATCTGTATCTGTATCTGTATCTGTATCTGTATCTGTATCTGTATCTGTATCTGTATCTGTATCTGTATCTGTATCTGTATCTGTATCTGTATCTGTATCTGTATCTGTATCTGTATCTGTATCTGTATCTGTATCTGTATCTGTATCTGTATCTGTATCTGTATCTGTATCTGTATCTGTATCTGTATCTGTATCTGTATCTGTATCTGTATCTGTATCTGTATCTGTATCTGTATCTGTATCTGTATCTGTATCTGTATCTGTATCTGTATCTGTATCTGTATCTGTATCTGTATCTGTATCTGTATCTGTATCTGTATCTGTATCTGTATCTGTATCTGTATCTATGCCTGTATCTTTGCCTCTGTATATTAATATCTTTTTGTATATGTATCTGTTACCCTATCTTTGTACCTGTATCTATAACGTTAACAGTTTCTGCAAATGCGTATCTATATCTGTGTATCTTCATATCTATTGTTGCATTTGTATCCGTTCATTTATAGATATATATGTATCTGCATGTGCATCCGTAGATAAATCTGTAGTTATATCTGAAATTATATTTGAATATGCATATCGCAGATATATCTTTATCTGTATAGTTTAACTAAATTTCGATGTGTATCTATAGATTCATTTGTAGATGTATCTCCGCATAGTTTTGCCAATAACAGTAACCTGTCTTTTAAACTATATCAGTTTCAAAATGAATCATTATCTGAATAAAGTATACGTATCTGGATTCAGTATCTTTATCTGTATCCTCATATATTATATTTGTTTGCACACATATGTAGTATCTGTAGCTGCATCCGTGTATTTGTATCTTTATCTGTGCGTATTTATTTTGCCTTTTACACGTTATTTTTGTAGCTTCTGCCTGCGCCGGCTTGTAATTACAATAAAAAACAACAAAAGAAACAACAAAACGAGACAAGAAAACGAAAATGGAATGTTTTTGATGTTCTGTGCCTGCTTGGCTTTGCTTTACATTGCTTTTCGAATTGCTGTGCATATATAAATTGTTGTGTCTTTATTTTTCTTATCGGCTGTACGAAAAAAGGGACAGTCGCGCGATTAAGAAAAAATTTCTTAACTCATTACGATTTCACTCAATACGGCGTATAATTTTTGGTTGTGGACCGACGGCATCTGCGTTCCATACAAACATATACACACATACACGTATATATACACATATAATACACACACTCTTTCAAAACTACATGTTTCACTTTCTCTGGCGCCTGGGAAGACAAATAAAATCAAAACACCAAATTTCCATTCAGCATAATATCTACGAGATGCGCTTGTTCAGAGTTCTTTAAACTATTTGGTAACAGTCTATAAAATTTTATAAATTGTTTAGAAAACAATATGATGGTAAAGTAGTGCTAAATATGTATTTCAATTCATCCATTGAAAATAATGTTCAACTCTATTTTGATAAGTGAAAAACGAGGCTAAAATGTTTTTGTTTCATGAACATTTGGTTTCATAGAGTTCACAAGTTTAGTAATATTTTTTTTAGTAATTTTTATTATTTTTAAATTTTTATAGAACTTTTCTTTTTCACTTTTACCATCTATGTATCCATTAGAATTTATAAATTTATATTTACCAGATATAAACTATAATAAATTTTTAATTCATGCCTTTGCACGCACAGAAACCAGTTTAAGTTAATTTCTATGCCATAAAGCTACGCTAATTCGATGATACTAAATGTACAAATATTTATACATATATATGTGAATGTGTATGCGTGTATATATACTATGTATATTAATGTTTGATATCTGTATGCCTATTGCTTATATACATTTTCAGCTGTACTTACATTTATCGCCTGTGGCTCGGTCCGCCCGTATGACTCGATTTTTTCATTCAGAACTTTTGCTACGCAATATATGCGTGTAATTTCTCTCTCTCTCTCTCTCTCTTTCTCCTATCTCGTTCTCTCTTGCTCACTTCCTCTTTCTCTCTCTCTGACTGCCCACAATATTGTACGATCTGTTGCTGTTGTTGTTGTTGTTGTTTTTTATTCACACAATTTAATTTGTTTTTTCGTATTTTGTTGTTGATTATAATTTATTTAGTAATTGCACATATAATGGGGGAAACAAAAAAATTTAAATTCTGCTGCTGAGGGATTGAAATTTTTTATTATTATTTAATTTTTTTTTTCGTATTTCACTTTAATTTGTTTAACATATTTTATCGTGTTTTTATTTGTATTTTTTTTTTATTTTGATTCTTTTTTATAAAAATCGTAAATTTCCAACAGATTTAATGAATTCTCAAATATTTATTTCATTTTCTGGGGGAAACTCTCAGTTCAACGTATATTTCGTATTTCGTTCTAAAAATAAAACAATTTTTCGCTTTGAAATATTTTTTGTGCTGGGTGTTTTCTGTGTTGCACTTGTATCTTTCAGCTACGTACATATATATTTCAGATACATTTTATTTTTCATTGAAGGAATTGCTTACTTTTTAGCGTTTCATGATTTTGCTTCTTTTTTATTTTATTTTGTTTTATATGGCCAATACAGTTTCGAAAGTACTATATGTTCTTTGTATTTTGTTATTTTCTTTTTTGTTTTTGATAAAACGCGACGCGTTCGCTGCGCAGCGCTTGCAGTTACAACGACGACGTCTGAGCGGCAAAAACTCGAGAATAAGCAAAGTGCGGCTCAATTTATACGACAAACAGACAACAAGAAGATACACACGAATGCGGCGCTGCCGCTGTTGCTGGCTCGCATTGGTATTGGTGTAGCCGTCTCTGTAGCTGTTGGTGTTGGTGTTACTGTTGCTGTTGGTATATCTTAAAGATACACACGATCGTCAGCCAGCTACAGATAACAGCGCCGTCGCCGCAAACAGCAACAGCGACGCGCACGCAATTAGAACGCTGCCAAACGGTCGCTGCCACTGCCACAGCCGCTGCCGCAGCTGGCTGCACCTAAAATGAGAGCGTTCGCCGGCTGCGAGCAGCGCAGCGAGAGTGAATTTTTTGGGTATTTCACGTTTTTCGCTCTCTTCGGGGGTGGCGGCGGCGGCGCTGTTGCTGTTATCGCAGCCGTAGGCGCTATGCGTCGGCGTTTCAGTCTCTATTCGCTCGAGTGTGTGTGTGAATGTTTGTGTTTTGTATTTATTATTATAAAATAGTAGTAGATGGGGCCACAAGAAAAAAAACGTAGTAGCTTTTGGTGCTAGCGCTCGCCTGTTTCAATACGTCTGTTTTATTTGCATATATTCAATATGCACGACCTACATTGTTGTTTTTCGACGAGCGACAGACAAACAAAAACGAAAATAAGTATTAAGCTACATACAAACATATATGCATAGATACAGACGCACAAAATATACAAAACAGCGCACAGCACACACCGCAGAGCGCCGTTGAGCAGGCGAAGCCGCATATAAATAAAAACACATCAAGTGTAAATATGTAAGTAAGTATTACCGCTGTCGCTGTCTCTGCCGCTGTCGCCGTCGCCGTCGCAGTCGCTGCGGGTACCCCACACACACACACACACACGCAGAGAGTGGCGCCCGCACTCATGCAAGAGATAAACGTAGGGGAGACAAACGCACAGGCACACGCACTCACACACACAGACAGAGAGACACTGCACAGAGTGTCAGTGGAAGCCGACAAAACAACAACTCGCTGGCATCGCCGTCCGCACGCGGTCAAAGGCAAGTCCAAACTGAACCGAAGTGCTCGAAAAAAACTTTTTCGCTTGGCCCCAAACAGCTGCTGCCGCTGCCACAGTCGACGTCGCAGCTCGCAGTCAGCTGCGACAGCGCAGCGACTTTGGCGCTCTTTGCATTTGCACCGACTGTTACAGCTTAACAGCGCTCTGTTAAAGCTCTCGCCTCTCTGTTATGGGTGTGGGCGACCGTCCAGGCTCGGCCCAGTTGTTCTTTAGGCATTTGTTTACTTTGCATACATACATTTTATTATTTTCTTTTTATCTATTTTTATTATTATCTGCGTATCTCTGACAGCTGTTGAGCTTATTAATTTTCCTAATTGGGCTACTAGTAAGCTTTGGCCCAGCGAAAAGCTTGCAATGTGCAGCTTTTGCTTTCAACACTGACGTCATCGTCACATTAAGAAATTCCCTTGGCTAGGGCAGCCGATCATTAAGATATATCAGCGCTCAAAAGCAATGCGTCCTTTTTTCAACACTAGTAGCCTGATGAGCTTTTGATGATGGATGATGGAATCCACATGTTGAAGACCCGCAACAAAGTCTCACACATCAATCTAAATGCTCGGCCATTAGTTTAAATTTGACTGAAGAAGGCAAAACCGAAACCAAAACGGGAAAAACAAAGAAATAAGCGGCAAAAATAAAAGACCACAGCGAAACAAGATTTTAGAATTTCGTTTATGGCTTAATACAGATAAGATAGATGTTAATTTCATAAAAGATATTACAATTAATTTGAACTGAATACTTTTTTGGATTATTTGCGTATGAAGTTTAAGCCAACGAGTTGGCCAAACAGATTTAGGGTGGATTACGACTAAATATATTGATGAAAATTCGTTTATGGAAATCTGAAGAGATAAGCTTTCTAGCTAAATATATATAAGGCTGTAATTTACTTCTTCTGTGATTTACTTCTTCAGAGTGTTTTTCCTTTAAGCCAAAACAATATACTCAAAATTTGCTTTCTACATATTTTCTTTTTTTTATGTTATTTAACATATGTAGATATAGATAGCAACATATTCATTTATGTATATGTAAAAGCTTGCATATCAATTACACATTGAGCGCAAGGCCGACCAGAAGGCAGATAGACAGGCAGACAGACAGATAGACATTTGGACGTTCATGAGTGTATTTGAGTGCATTTAATGAATGATCAAAGTGAATTGAAACCAAGGCAATAATCATGCGACGCTACTCCATATGTAAACGTATATATGATATAGTACAGTATAGTATAGTATAGTTAGGAGTAGTTTCTCTATATGTATAGCTATATATGTCTAACACTAACTTATTGGCAGACTGGGCACAGTTAATTACGTGACATGTCAGAGCCGCAAACGAGTTAAACACGCTTCGATCGATGCATTGCAATTGCAATTGCATTCACCTCGAAGTGTTCATTGAACTCTTACAACAACAACAACAACCAAATAACAACAACCAATTGAAAATAACATTCAATTTGCTATAATTGATGAGTCTAAGCTCTATTTAGATTGGATTCCGATTAAAATATAAAAACAACATCGCACCCTTCTTCTGCCAGTAGATATAACGGTAAGTGTAGGTAGTGTATCAGTATCTGTTTCTGTAAGTGTAACTGTATTTGTATCTGTATCTGTATCTGTGTGTATGTGCGTGCGTATTTGTGTAACTGTTTCAGCTTGTCAACAAACGGCAAGCAAATAATACAAGAAATTTTCAATAAAAATTTATGTTTGCTGTATTGACGACCATGGCTGGGCTTATCTGCAGTTCACTTCATTTTTTTTGTATTTTGTTTGATGTGTAAACGTTAACATATTTCGGAATATTCGAAAGATACTTTTTTTTCCTCATTCAGCTGATCAGAATTCCCAAATTTCTCACGTAGGCCAAGCGAGCGCAACTCGCGGAACCAGAGAGCTACAGACTTTATATGTATCCAAAACTTTTATTAACTAGTGGCAGAGAGAGTGAGAGAGAGTAGCATAGAGTATGTACGAGAGAGAGCGAGAGAGTGGGCGTGACTGAGTGCCTGCTGAAGCTGTGTCTTCTTATCTGCTCGCCCACAATGTATGTCATTCCTGATAAGGCAGCATTTAGAATTGCCTTTCTATATATGCAACTGTTATAAACATACACAAACATACATACATAAATAAGCATATGTGTATATGTATATTTCAACTCCTGCTAACTTTCATATACATATGTCTGCCTATATATACATACAAGCGCTGCCATGACTAATTAAGCAAAACTCAATTTCTCAGCATAAAAATTTGCCGACAACTTTGTAAAAGGATTGCTGAAAAAGTTTGTTGCGCATCTCTTGGTTATGTGGGCAGAGCAGGCCATGGGGTATATTAGCTGGCACAGACAATTTGTAGAGTGGCGTGTGTGAAATATTGATGAAATGGTATTATATATGGCATGTACTTGAATTATTATTCGTTTAGCTAATTCGGAAGGCCGCATGAAATTCAAAGAATTCCGAAAAATAATTGATTAAAGTTTAATATTTGCCATATTCGCATATACATATATTGTAATATTTATATTTTTTTTAAATTTATGTATATATTCTTTAATTTACTTAAGTTTCTTTTTTACAAATCTATAAATAAGTCCCTAAAATTAATTTTTATTTTCAATCGATTTACTCCCTGCAAGGATATTCATTCGTTCACATATATATTTTTTGATCAGCTCCAGTTGTTGCTTTGTTGTTGTTATTGTTTTTTATCTTTACTGCTCTTCGTTTTTCGATTTCGGTGCTCTTTGGCCGTGTGAATCATAAGCATTAAGCATAAAACCGACATTTAGCTGATTGATCTTAATAAGAATTCCAGGCTCGGGTGGAGTTGCGTTTTTTGGCTGCGTTCGCTAACGGATTCATGCGGCGGGTCAATAACATTTTGCTGCCAGTGTGTCCATACCAAAGCCCACCAGGCCCCCACTACCTCTGCCCCGCCCCCTTTTTGCAGTCATTGAGGGCGTTACTTGGGCTGCGCCTTGCGCAACATAACAAACTTTGTGTTTGTTTGTCTTAATACCCGTTTGCGATGTGAATACGGGTATATTGATTTGTTTGTAAAGTGCTGGTCAATCTGGGCGTAGCAACAAGAACTGACACTTGGGTCTGATCTCCTGCAATCCATAAGTTTGGTGTTTTCCATGGACAAGTATTAAACTCTCGATTATGCTCGACTACAGCTTACATACATGTTTATTCTTGTTTCCATGCATTCTCATTGTTCACTTTTAATAAGTCCCCCCGCCAATCTTCTCTCAGAGAGCGAGAGCGAGAGAGTGAGAGAAGGAGTGGGCCTGTTGGAAATTGAAGTTTGCTTTTATTTTTTTAAAGTTCTGTTTCATTTGGCTGCATTTGGAAGTCTGTCTACACAAATATCAGAAATAATTGGATTGCTCTGTTCATATATGTATATAGAAACATATATTGGGATCAGAGCGTTTGGAATTCGCAAATGTTGTGCTGTGGAGCGGATGTCTGTTGCCCAATTCATGATTGAAAAGCGTCGCCAAAAGTGCAAAATTTGCAAAGCTAATGTCAAGAGACCTGAGAGAGAGAGAGAGAGAGAGAGAGAGAGAGAGAGCAAGGGGGTGGCGAGGTCTTTACCCCCATTTCGTGGAGTCTGGGGCATTCTAAGAACTGTTGCATATTTCATTCCCTTACATAAAAACAAAAAATCAATTTTAAAGTCAATTTGATGTAGATGTTGTGTAGATGAATTACTTGTTGCGTACCAGTGTGCACACTGGGTGTCTCCTACATACATATATGTACATATGTATGTATGTATATGTTCACACTCGCACATGTATTTTGTCAAACCATTTCTTAACTAATATTTATTTCGAAGCATTTAGCAAATGGCAACGACAACCTGTTTAATGAAATCCAATCAAATATGTCTGACACGCAAATTGCATTTTTTTTTCCTAATTTCGTAGTAGAAAGATACACTGTTTAGACTCTGTAAAGGGGTGTATTGGCTGTGTGTGCAGTATGTTGGTAGCTCTAGCTATAAGCATACTACTTTTTCGAATACTACTACTGCTATTATGCTAGTAAATAATACTAAAACTACTACTATTACTGGTAATACCACTGTGTACTCCCACTTCTACTGCTAGTATATATATTATTCATTACTACTACTATTTGCAAAATATTACTACTATTATACTACTATATACTACTATAACTGTTGCTAATGCTTCACCTCTTTTAATTTACTACTATTATCTATTACTACTATTTTAATTTCCTACTACTATCTACCATTTCAAGTTTAGTTTACTCTATTATCAGCTAATGCTATTTTAAATTACTTTTACTATCACTACTATTACTACAAACCTCACAATTTCTACAACTACTACAGCCACTGCTATTTTTTTAATTTACTTTTACTATCACTACTAACTCCACAATTCCTACTATTACTACTACCTCGTCAATTCATACAATATGGCCCTACTTCTACTATCAAATTAATTAAGTCAATCTACTACTTGTTTTTAGACAATATACTCAATTTTTATTTATTTATTAAATAGAATTTCAGATAATTGTAGAGTATTCTGCGGTGCCTTACCGCTGCTTGCCAAATTACTAAGCATTGCGCACTGCAAAGCCCCAAACATTGGCGACACTTGCGACATTTTTGTTTCGTAATGTCTGGTGTCTAGCAATCGAATTAAATCAAATGCAATCGACTCTCACAGCAATTATGAAATATATATGTATATGTGTATATAGGTATAAACACCATATCAAAGTCTTGTCTGCAGCTCAAATGAAACACAATTTGCGTAAAATTGAAGTGCTTCTGCTTCCACAGCCTTTTACTACTAAGTAGCGCACTTGATCAGATGCCACGCCCTCTGTCTCTCAACAAGCTAACACAGCCTTCACTCTGCTGCCCTTTATTATGCTTTTGTTTGTTGTTTTTGGTTTGGTTTGTTGTTGTTGTTGTTGTTTTGCTTCTTTTTTTCTGTGTGCAAACAAAAGGCGTCTAGATTACGTCTACGTCGTCAACAGACCCAAAAACCCAGACAGACGCTGCCTCAAGCTTTCAGCTGTCTCTGTCCCTCTCTCCATATCCATATCCATATCCATCTCTGTCTCTGTCTCTGTCTCGCCCTCTTCCTTGTTTCTGGTTGCTCGTCTCT